GCTGAATTTACTTTGTAAAGAATGGAGTATAATAAGCAAAATGAATAGACAATAAAGAAGAAATGTTTTTAAAGTAAGAAAAGAATTAAAAAAAAACCTGGAAAATTAAAAATTTAAATTCCTGTCAGTCTCCATAACTAAAACATAACCTGCAGTAGGTACATAGATTCTAATAAAAATTAGGCATCTGTAAAAGGTGTGTTGCAATTAAGTTTTTATTATTTACCCTTATTATTTTATTTATTTATGGAAAATCATTTTATTTCTTTATAAAAAAAATTGTGAAGAGATGCCAAGTCATACTATCAAAATGATAGACCATTGATGCAAGGTTATTGAGGTGAAATATGCAAAAGGTGACTTGAATGAAAAACAAATATTTTGGCTAGTGTATGTATGCAAGCCTTTATATTGCATAAGACATGAAGCTGAATAATATAGTTTTAACTTAAATAATAGAAATAAATCCAATTGATACAGACCTGGGAGTAGTAGATAATGTATTAAGTATAGACTGAAGATATACACATTATAACAAATATCACAACAAAAAATCAGTACTCCTAGAACATTTTCAATGGGATGGTTATGGAGGAGACAAATACATGAATATATTTTACTGTTTCAAAACTTCTTTAAATATTACTTTTAATACTTCCCCTGTTATGTCATACTTATTACACATGTATTGGGGGCTGCTTCACTAATTCAAATTTCACACCCAATATACTTGGTTAGGTGATAGGTAATTTATTACCTCTCTTTTTGTCTTATTTAATGTAATTCAATTACCTGTTAAACTCAAACATTTTTAAGAAATATATCTTGATTTATGGTGAAATAATTGTTATAATACTGATATATTTCTACACAGATCTCTATATATGCATTCTAAATTTAAAAATGTGCATTATATTTCCTATTGTGTTTATACGTGTATGTATGTGGTGCGACTATAATAAACTATAATAAACTTTTGAACTTGAACGCTACATTTAGCAAACTAACTAATTTAAATTATTGAATTAATATCTAAGAACCAATTTATTAGTGGTATATTTGATTGCTAATCAGACAACTATCCATGAAAGCTCAAATAAAATGGAGTTAAGAAGTTAGGTATATTTCTCTATGTTTTTGATTTCATTATAATTGTAATTTAAGACCACATAATTATTCAGAAATGCAATTGACCATTGTGTGACCCAAGACGTTGACTTGTATTTATATGTCTTAATTAATTATCACAGTAGTTAAAGTTCTGTAAAACTAAATTAACAACAAACATTTATTCTTTGCAGATCCTACAGCTTGCATATTGCTTGAAAGATCGTCAATGTCGGACTCTTCGGATGACGAATTTATATCTTCTACTTGATTATTTTCAACAAGTAACGGCTCAAACCGATACGGTCGAATATCTAAAGTTTGAGAGTTGTCTTGAAAACTGCTGTCAACACCGTCCATTGTTTAATTATGCAGAAATGTGATCGACTTCGTCCATATTGAGACATTTTCTCAGCTTGTATCCACTGACGTCATCACGATCACGTGACCGGTATCTAATTAAAAATCAAAGATTACGACAAGCGCTGGATTATTTGACCATAAAAAGGCCGTTTAATGAGGTTTTGACAAGAAAAATTTATTAAAATATGTTTTTTGACCAATATTAATTAATTAAAAAAAAAAAAAAAAATTGTGTCACGTCTCCTTTAAGGAACTAGTTAAAAGCACATAAAATTAGTCGTAGAACACTTACTAGAGGCCGAGATGAATCGATATTTTACTGGGTTTTTTGTGTGTAGTTTAGGTAACTAATACTTAGTAGGGACCTTCAAATGTTCAGAAGAGGCCTTAATCTGTGATGTGGTTATGATATGTTTGTTTTACTATATGACTCTCTGTGGAGCGCACAGACTTGAATGTAGAAGTATTTAAAATTGCATTCTTAAGAACGTCTGTGTAGTATTTACGGCATACCACCACCACATTGTTGGCTGCATTGTCGGCCGGTACAAACACTAACCGCTTTGAAAGTACTTGAAGTTTGTTTCTTATTCTAGAAATAGGCGTATTATGTACTCTTTTATTTATTTCTGAATTATTTTCAAAATGTGATATTCGAATATCCACAACATTCATACATTTATTTAAATAAGAATCGAGAGATTTTTTATTTGATTTTTCCCGTTTACACCAATTTTTACAATACGACGAAAGAGCGTCTTTTGTGACCTGACGACACTGTATCCAATCTATTTAAGATGGAGGACGATTTTCAAAAAGTTTATAACCTCTCGGTTTTAAACGATATTGAGGTCCCCCGTAATAACATGGCCATAGGGATCATACCTAAAATTCGACGATTCACAGTCTCAAATTAGAGGAGTATTATTTTCTACATTGACGTCTGATGTTACTGAAGTATAGTTTAAAATTAAACTTTTGTTGTTTTTTTGTAAGTATACGATATAATAGGTGGTATTGTGTTATCAAAATTGGTAGGTATAGAGTTTTGAATGGTAGAGTCATTAAATATACTCGATAAGTTGATGAAATCAATACCTCTGTTAATAAACTTAATTTTCAGGAAGTGCCGTTTATGATCTCCAGGTTTATCGATACGCGGGAACAGCCTATGGTGGCAAGAAGAAGTTTTGACTTATCATCTTAGCCATCAGATGGAATTCTTAAAAGAAGACATCCTAGAAATATTTTGCAATTATATGATCATATGATTCCCAAAGGAGGATTATGGCAATTTATGATTCCTATTAGCCTATTTTTTTTCAAAGGATAGTTTAATAAATTGTTCAGCTCTTTACTGGACCTGGGAAACAAATTGTTCTTCAGTGTGTAAGTTGAGTTTAAATATTATGTTTTGATCACAAAATGTTGGGTTTTGTTTTTTTTATCTTAACTTTATAATAAATGTATGGAATAATGTACTTGTAATTTTCGGAAAACAGATTACTTTTACAGATTTGATATTATTGGTTCCTGTATTTCCTTAGTTTCTATACATATAAACAATTGATAAATTCAACAACACTTACCGTTATCTTGATGATATTTTATCGTTAAATAATCAAGAATTTTCTAAATATACTGCTGAAATTTATCCAAAGGAACTTACTTAAAATAAATCAAATATAAACGGTAATAACTATCCTTTCCTAGATTTAGATAATTCAGCTATACACGGGAAACTCTACACTAAAATTTACGACAAAAGGGACGATTTTTCGTTCCCTATTGTTAATTTTCCTTTTTTGGACGGTGATGTTCCTTTGGCACCATCTTACGGTGTTTATATATCACAACTCGTTCGCTATTCCCGTGTCTGTTGTGACGTTTTGGTCTTCAATGAACGATAAATATGTATTACTGGTAAATTATGAAGGCAGAGATTCCGTTACCACAAATTGCTTAAAACCTTTACTTAATTCTTCCATAGATATAAAGATTTGGTTTTGAAGTTTGGTTGTACCTGCAGAAAACTTATTTCAAACGGGATAGCACATCCTCATTTTTACGGAGATGTTGTTTACCGAGCCCGGAAATATAGAAACGATCCGGGTAAACTTATCGATCCTTTAAATTAGCTTATACTAAAAGGTAACCAATTAAACACTGCAATTAGATCGTTGATCAGAATATTGTTTTTATTGGTATTAATATTGATTTTGTTATCAGTAAATTAAAATCAAACTAAATATTATTTTCATATACAAATGCTTATTCATGGCTCTACAATCTGTCGATACCTGTATCTTGGCATTGCACAAGGTCATGTTTTTCTCTGACTGTTTATGACGTCTTTACACTAAATCCATTGGATGTTGGATGTGTACTGATTGATAATTTAGTCTTAAATGCATGATTTGTTTTTATTGATTTGAACTAGCTGTCAGTAACGGTGAGTACTACCAGATCTGTGCTTAGTGTCTTTTTGTTGTTGGGATGTATAAGTACCCGTTCACGTCCACTCTGTGTTTTTGTTAGATGTATTTCTATTTGTATCCATCTCATGAGTTAAGCCTTTTTCAACTGATTTCAATAGTTTGTTCTTATGTTGTACTGTTACACCACTGTCCCAGATTAGGGGGAGGGTTGGCGCCCTCAAACAAGTTCATCCCGCCACATTCTGTATGTGCCTGTCCTAAGTTAGGAGCCTGTAATTCAGTGGTTTTCGTTTGTTGCTTTGTAACATATTTGTTTTTCGTTCATTATTTTGTACATAAATTAGGCCGTTAGTTTTCTCGTTTGAATTGTTTTACATTTGTCATTTCGGGGCCTTTTATAGATGACTATACGGTATAGGCGTTGCTCATTGTTGAAGGCCGTACGGTGACCTATAGTTGTTAATTTCTGTGTCATTTGGTCTCTTGTGGAGAGTTGTCTAATTGGCAATCATACCACATTTTCCTTTTATTTTTATAAGTACAACTTATCCTATTTAGATTGTTAAGTTTTATAAAGGTAAGTCGATTTATTAAATCGACATTTTTTAATACTTGGTTTAAACAATATTGTAATTAATAAATCAAATCATGATCTAAATAAGATGATAATTACATTATACAATAGGATTCAGAATCAAGCAACGTTGCTTATTTTAATTTGTCTAAAAAAGATCAATTTGAATATTTAATTAATACTCAGTCTGGATCACCTTTATATCCAAAAGTTGAGATGTTACTATATCAGGATCACATAACTTACACTTCAACCTTCACAAAAAGTTTGCAAATTAGAACAGGTTATAGAAAACATTCAATTAACGATAAAAAAAATTTGAGATAACCGAACCCACCACCAACTGCAAAAGCATGTAAATTTGTCAATATTAGCAATATGAGTCACAAGGGTTTCCATCAAATGTGACATAAACTTTTCCAAAAAAAAGTGCACTAAATTTTATAAATCTTATTCAGAAAACACAGAAAACTTTTTGAATATGAATTTACTTTAAAAAAGAAACGCATTTAGTCGATAACTGTTCTCGGGTTATTTGTATTATGTACATCATATTTTTGAATAGTCTCTGGCATTGTTATACGTTTTTCCATTTTTATTCAAAACTTTCTAAATATTTAAAACATCGAGATTATAATAAAACACGTGTAAATGTTTTTCTTTCTTTACGAAACACAATGCAGAACTATTTGATTGTATACCAAAATTAGTTTGATAATGTAATTCAGATTGGTCAGCTTTCATTTGGTCTGTCAGACTGATCTGTTTTTTTCAGATGTCTTTTCGCAATCATTTCCAATCCCATCAATTGGTTCTGTGTACTCTGTCGGCATATTATATAGGTAGTTGTTGATGCGAGATATCCCATTTGTTTGTTTAAGGGACAAATGGTTATATTGGTTATCCAGGTCACAGTGTGATAGTTTTCTCCCGTAAACTGTCATTGGTCTGACCATCTTCGACTCTCTAATTTCAGAGTAAGCATTTTCGTCGTCTTCGTTTGCATGCCGTCTTTTGTGCCTCTCATGAACTGACGACATTTCTAAAATGTAAAAATACACTTAAAAGTAAACATCGTATACGAATCTGAATGTTACATTTTGATGGAAAAGCTGTTCAAGATAAATTGACATTAAAAGCTTGATGTCCATTGGCTTACACTATACCACAGTGGCGATGGACTACTATAGTTTTCAAAATTCATCAGGTACCAGATGAGCATCATTTTAGTGTAAAACAAATCTGTAACGTTACACATATTCAGCTTTTTAAGCAAGAAACTGCATTGTTATGCTTTTATGAAATAAAATAAACATGCAAATATTACCAAAAAAAGAAGCATTTTCGTGTAAGAATCTCTGTTGTTTCTCCCAAACTCCCGTTCGACCCGGTAGTTCAGATGTCCATTCCCTTCGTCAAGAATGTTACTGTAATTTTACTAAGTTTCGTCATCGAAACATTTATATGCCCATTAAGAGATATTTTTCACTTTTCTGATAGCTTGTTTAAATCTGTTTATAGATATTACTAGTACTTGTGTACAATTAAGAACCAATGCAATAAACCATATAGCATATATATTTCTGTACTTACGCGAATCTGTTATTCGTCTACATATTTTTTCTCTTTCCTTCCTAAAACAAATTGCCAGTAACCACATTCATAAATGTTCTACTCTTAAATTACACAGATTTGAATATATATTAATTTGATAAACTCAACAGAGTATGTGAGTCTCACCTGGCATTAAACACTGCACGTCGTGGCATATAATTCAGATAAACAATTAGCCTTGAACAATTCCGATCCTCATATAAAATAAAATATTTTCTGAGTGCATTTCTACAATTGTTCTTTTAAAACTAAAATTGTTACTTAATAGATACAAGTCTTTCTCTGACTCTGATAAAAACTTAAATCAGGTCAACTAATTCAGAAAACAGATTCCAAATGTAAGTTGTAGGTCACTTGGTTTTATTTTTGATGTTTTGATTGGTCCAGACGCCATTTACAAAGACGTTGTGACTGATCAACGTAAGCGAGCGAAGACAGTTAGTTGAATATCTGCATTGGTCTAGTCACAAACATCTTCATGTAAATTCATTAAATATCTATTGGACAAATGAATACTAGTCAATTATGAAAAATAATATTTTCAAATTATGCAACTTTTCTTATGCAATATATTTTGAAACTAAAATTTCTCTTATATTAGTAAATGTTGTGAATTTACAATCCTTGTTACCATTATGAAAGAGCAGTATTAGTTTAATATATAAAAAAAAGGGGACGTGGTATGATTGCATTTTTTTTTTTAAAAAGCTATCCACCCGAAACCAAATTTCGTGGATGTAAGTAACTATTTTTCACAGTTCGGCCTTCAACAATAAGCACATCCAATACCACATAGCAAGCTACAGAGGCCCCGACATGACAAAATAAAATAAAACAAAAAATAAGTTGTAACGCAATAAAACAACTACCTGATTTATGCTCAAATAACAACAATAGAACAAATATACCAAATATACCCACTGCAATACAAGTTGCTGACATGGAACAGACACATTTGTAAAAGGTTTCTACAAGAACAGTTAAAAACTTCCCAACCATTTGATTTGTATCTATCAAATAATTTTGTAAAGGTTTTAAGTAAGTGGATGTAACAAACTTCCTGACTTTAACATTTACCAGTTATGAATAGATGATTTTCAGTGAAATATAAAACGACACAACAGATACTGGTATAGCGAACGAGTTAGAAAATATACACACCGAAAGGAGGTGCAGAAGGAACACCAACATACAAAAACCAAAATTAAAAATTGGGACGAAAAATGTCCTCCTTTTTTGTAAACTTGTAGAGTATTTCATGTCAAACTGATATATTTAATTTAGAAAATGTCAGTTATTGCTGTTTATATTAGATTCATTTAAAGTAAATTCCCCTAAGCATATTCCGCAGTATAGTAAAAAATACTTGATTTTTTAAAGCAAAAAATCATCAAAGTAACTGCAAAATGACTTAGACGGATCTTTACTGAGTTAGGCAATAAACTGTGATCCGTAACAATACATTAAGTCTGCTGTTACAGGAGAGCAATTGGTTCCCATAGGAATACACAAAACATATCGATAAACATTGTATTAAGAAATGTTTTATTTTAACAAGTGCACAAACTACAAGTATACAACAGACATTACAGGGATTCGAAAACGGGAAGAACTTATATCAATCAGTTCCCTAAATACAGATAAGCTATAAAAAAAATTAATTCATTCATTGATTTATCTGACAATCTTACAAGGTTCGAAAACTGAACTTCAAAAGGAACGAGAACTGATTCGTCGACAGGTACATCTATGCGTCTCCTGCTATGGATGCATCATCCGCAATACGAGTTTACTCTGGCCGAGAACGTTTCCAGAATAATCCTGAATGGAGATTTTTGTGTATGATGTGTATCAAAAGTTGTGTAGAATAATATATGCCTAATTAAAACCAAAACGTGGTTGAAAATGTCACAGTAGTTTCAAAGGAGAAGATAAAATATGCGATATGTATCAAAAGGACGATTGGCATAAACAATGGACATTGTTAGTTTGTTTTTAACAGAATAACATTTTCCCACTTCCTTCCGTCTCAGTTTCGACATCATGAAGGCAATAACTATAATAATCAACTTATTAGATTTAGACAAAGTTTGAAATCGACAACTGTAAATGCTCTATGTATTAAACTATCAAATTTCCGCGTGTTTAAAAGCTATTTGTCATCTTTTATGAAAAAGAAAGTTGAACTATACTAGTATGTGGGATTGTGCTACTCTGTAAAATTTAATCTCAGTGTGACAAATTTCTCCATGTACAGAAATAGAAAACTCCATTTCAAGCTATAATTGGCAAACCCAAAATTTATATGAAAATGTTTACGCGTTGCTGTTAAATAATGTAGTCATCTGTAGATTTAACGTGCGTCTGGCGTACCAAAGTATAAACCTGGCTTCTTTTATGTGTTTTTAAAGCTTCATCACATTTATTATTAAACGATAAGATTTTTAGAACAACATTTTGTAATGGAAAGCCTAGATATATGGACAAAGAAACAAGTGAAAACAATTACAATAAGTCCTTAAAATATATGAGAGAAAACATTATGATTGTCCTAAAAAGATAATAAAATCTCAATTCTAATAACTTAGTGGGCACGTTTTAATGATTTTTCACACTTAATATGTAGGGAATTTTTTGTTTCGAGTTATACTAATATTTGTGTTGTTATTTGGTTGAAAAGAATTTGTTTTTCTGGTAACTATTATTAGTCACTTTCATGTTCTGAAATAGCACGCGGAGATGTCTGTTATAAAATTACATACCATACTATAACTAAAACGATGATAACCAAAACAGCTAGTAGCACTGCAATAATTATACTGTTGACTGGGTCTCCGCCATCATCACCTTGCAATGTATGAGTCATATGTTCTACAATGTATTTTTATAAAACAAATTAAAAAGAAACCATGGCCAATTTGAAATATAGAAAAGTGTTTAGATTTAAATAATTATGTCTACAAGTACACAAATTCTAAATTAAACCTGGACATTTAGATCTCTTCAACAATATACTTTCATTTCGTCACCATATTTTCTAGGTAGGCTATTTTTTTTTAAATGTTTTATTTTGAAAAGAGAAGTTTTAGAAGTATATAAAAAGGCTAATCATTCAATGTTTCACCATTGTTTGTTTAGTTATTGTATGAGGGAAACGAGTAATAACTAAATAAGGACATGACAAAAATTCATATGATATTTTAAAATCCATGCCATTATTACTTTTGTACTACTTATAAGTTAGCTCAAATACGATGGCGATACAATATATAATTTATAATTAATATACAGTTTGGAAGAGCAAATATTTGCATAAATGAAATCTCTCCGTAATTAGGAAATATTCACCTGTAGAAAATGCTGTATTTGTTGAATAACAGACTACACGGCAAATGGTACAAAAAGTCCATCAGCTGAGGTATCGAACACGGTGTTTCTAAATCAAACTTCTACCTTAATCATGTTTCATGGCTTCAAACAAGCAATACTACGACAGATATCAAAGAAACTTTGATGCAATTGAAATACGTATCTGTATTATGTAAAGATTTTGTGTTGTTGTTTGATGGATAGACCCATCCACTTGTCAAAATACTTATAGTTACGGTTTGAGAAAAGCGGTACGATTGCATGACATCTAGAAGTCTGGTTTTTAATAAAATGATAAATTTAAAAAAAAACATCAGTCCCCGAGGGTATGATCAGCTCAGTAGTCAGTCCGGTACTGACATGAACTATAGCACGTCTTTCTTAAATTGTCCGTTTATATAGATTAAGAAATTAGTAAGAAACTAAGGAGGCAAAGTTGACTTTAGATAGCTGTAACTATTAATTTTATGTCCCTTTTAGTCATATACTACTGTTTCGGTACTTTTACATCCTTAGCTTTCAAATATTCGGCTATGAGCGTTCCTGATAAAGTGTTGTTTTCATGTTTTACCATAGCACAAATAAAATGTAGCATGTGTCTAGGAAGCGCCTTACATAAGTTCACCAGGGAATATTCTATAATATTGATAAGTGAACATATCCTCAAAGCGTAGGATCAATTACTCCTGCTTTTTATGCAACTGGCGATGGAGGTTTCTTCCTCAAAGGTATCAACAGCCCAGTAGTCAGCACTACTGTGTTGACATGAATTATCATTGATATTGTCATAATTATAAATTAATTGTTTACAAAACTTAGAATTTTTCGACATAATAAGGATTTTCTACCCCAGGAATAGATTACCTCATCTGCAAAACCTTTCGGAATTTTGGGTCCTCCTTTTTTACATTATTCATTATTCGTGTATCCAAACACTTTAAGTCTTATTAGAGGTTTACCAATGCTTTCGGTATAAACGGGATACATGTTTAAAACAATATGACATTTATTAATCATTTAATTATATTTATTTTAAACATAAGCTTTTTTTTTTAAATATATGTCTATATGTTTTGAATACCTGCCAAAGTATCAGGATACTTTTAAAGATTATACCGATGGTTGAAATTTATATCATGATGTTTGTAGAAGTATCATGATTCTTTTTAAAAGTTTTTATATACTTGTTGAAAGTATCTTGATGTAAAATGTATCCTTATATATAGATATGTATACGGTATACGAAATCATAAACGTAATTCAATTTTTTGTAAAATTTTTTATTGTATTTCGAGCTAATAACCAATAAGAAATGTCTTTCAATAATGACTGGCAGCAAGATATAATAAAATAATTTTGAAGTTGACGCGCATTATTCTATTACCAACAGGTCACACTATTTATTAAACTTTATTAAAACAGATCAATCTCTAAAAATTTCTTCAATTTAAAAATTTTTGACTGTTATTTACACGAAATGAAAAATGAAGTTTTTTTTTAAATTCGTGACAGAATCAAATCTAAGAATAAATGAGGACGATGCTAGATCTATCTCATAAATCTTTTGAAAAACCAACTAATGAGGTAACATATTACAGGCATTTATAGTGCTCATCAAATTTTAATAAAGGAAGAAAAAAATCATTATTACCTGTTGGTACTGTCAATTCATCTTTCAAAGTGGTGGATGACTCTGAAAATAATTTTAAAGTTAACCCAATGTTTATCTCAAAATGTTATTGGTAAGAAATGTGTCATTATTTACACATGTCACCTAAAAGAAAACAAACAAACAAAAAAGATTTTTCTTAAAGACTTATTTAACCCTAAGTTAAGTTGATTACATTAAAAAAAAAAACTTATTTTCGTTGTGAAGAATAACGTTGTTTTCTATCTCAAATTCACGAGTGACTTGCATCTTATATTTATTTTTGAGTATCAATAGTCATCGATTATTCTAATTGCAAAATTACATGTTTCAATCTGTACATAAACTCTCAGTGAACTTTTCAATTTCATCTTTAAAAATAAATACATTTGTAGGTATATATTTTACAATACCTTTAACTAAAATCATAGGTATTCTTGCGTCAATGTTCTCGATAATTCTGCAACCATGAACTTTGTTGCATCTGAAAATGCCATATTTTGTATAATCAAGTTAATACGTCAAATTCATCGACTCTTCTCAATCATATAGATATCCCTTTTGTATGTAGAATATATATCTTTTTTGTTAGTTAATTTTTTTTCTAAGTAAAAGAAAAGGACAATACTATGGGAATTATAATTCCATCTCAATTTTACAAGCATTTGCTTTCTCTTCAGTTGAACATGTCAATGCATCATCTTGTTTGGTTCATGGTCACCCTGAATATGCATAACATATTGGTCACTGTATTGTTTGCATGTTGTTGCAAAACAAAATGACCTTTTATATAGCATCATTCCATATGTGCAAAAGGGAGAGTTATATTTTTACTAATTGGTTTTACAAATAACAAAGGAACAATATAAGAAAAATATTTTGTACCGTAAAAAACGAATAAGTCCACAAAACACTTCATAAAAAACTAAAGACTGAGCAACACGAAAAGTATATATGATACATATTATAAATGGCAACAGCATGACAAATATGATACAATCCTAAAAAGGAAACCATTGATACTGAAACAATAAACAAGAGACAAATATGACAGAAAGCAAGCAACTACAACCACTTAAATATAGGCTCCTGACAGACACAATAAGGATATGGAAGTTAAATTTGTTGGTGAGCGCACAAACTCCAAACTTTACCTGGGACAAAGGAGAACAAAATAACAAACTGTACAAAACAGCCGGAAGCACACGAAAAAGTAAATAGAAAAAGAAATATGGCCGAATTAACAGTATTGGTTTTTTGTTATTGTTGAAGGTTGCCTATAATTGCTTACGTCCACTGCATTTGAACTCTGGTGGATAGTTGCGCAATCATACCACAAAGTACTGACCTAAAAATACCAGCAATTACTTAAAGCAATTTAAATCAAGTTTCAATTTATTAATTAACCATGTTTTCCCAAACTAAAATATCTATTTATGTCTATAACAAAATTGATTATTTGTTAGTAATGTAAATAGAGAAGCAAACATATTGGGTTATTTAAGTCATATTAACAGGGAAAAAATAATAGAATAAAGGAAATCATGGTCATGATGGCAGATCATGTTTCTAAAAGCAAGACATGCTTATTAACAAGTAAGTCAAACGGTAAATGTATATTTTTTTGTACTGAAGTCTGAGATTTGATATGTGAGAGTTATTACCTCATGACTGAGATAAAACTATCAATGAATGTATAGATATTTTGATCTTCGGATACCTGTGTGTGTATGGTGAAGTCCTCATTCCACAGATAGGAAATGAGAGTCCATACTACAAACCTCTCAAACCAACAAACAACTAAACCATGTTTCATGTTTCGAAATCAAATTCTATATGTAGTTTCATACAAATCTAATTCTCCTTTTATAACAGTGATTTGCTAAATGAATAAATTATATAAATTTCGGGTATCCAAAGCGCTTTTCTGAATTTAAATTTATCAGGAACGCTCAAACTAAAAACAAGAAAGTTAATGATGTATAAATACCCGAATACGCGTGGAGCTGTATGAAAAAGAAATAACCAAACTAATCTAAGGTCAACTTTGGCTGTTGTGTTGGCACCTTAGTTTCAATATAATTCTTCATTTATAAACGGAGAAACTCTAATTCTTTTTACTAGGCAATGGTATGGAACTCTACTACTTTATCGAAAGATGATAATTTGTAGGATTATCCGAAATTATGATTTTAACAATGATGACAAGTGAATCAGCGAAACGCTTACATCAGTGTGGTTCTGGAAGGTCTTGTACAATTTATATGTGCATAACTGTAATTATTGCACAAATACAAATGCAAATGTTCACTTAAAGTCCTTTTTAATCCTTACTTCTGACTTTAAATGCGTTTAAAGTCAACACTTCTTTTGTATATTAAGGTGAATATCTAACCCTTTTTCAAAATACAAGTGTTACAAAATTTGCGTCTGTTGTTGTTTCATCGTGATCGTACTACATTTAGGAAGGTAGTTGCTGGAATCCAGTAATTATGGTGTTCTGAATTCACTGTATTCTCTTAATTAATGAAATACTCTGCCATGGGTATCCTTCATAAATACAGTTGACAATTAGTAATTATTCTGTAGTTACATCGAAAATTCGCTAACACGCGTTATTTATACGTTCACCACAATTTGGAAAAAGTTTTCTCTCGTCCAGATACAATTTCAGTTGCGTTAAAGGATAATGCTTCGGTGATTTTTTTATCATTGGGAATTTTGTAAAACATAAAGGTTATTTGAAAGTTGAGAATATTGTATGCAGTTTATGGATGTTAACTGAATCTCTCCTACATTTAAATGTCACAAAGTTTTCGTCAATCAGGAATATTTCTCGCTCGACTAATAGTCTGCTTGCCCATAACTCATTCTACATGAAAGTAAGAAGTATAAGAGCTCCATCTTTCCTTCCGATGGCATCTATAAGCTACAGCAAGCATGCCTCTGGAAAGTAAATCTGCAAGTATTTTGTCTGTCAAAAAGCAGTTATAACAACAACCATGCGTGAATTCCAGCAACTCTAGTTTTGGCTGTATAACTCAAACATGTGATTGTGAGGAACGCTTCTGTATGGCTTCAAATGTTTCACTTATGTATTTTCAATCGATAATGATGTAATTAGCACAAGCTTTGGAAAAGTATTGTATTTTAGTGAATGGCACTTTTCCTTGATTAAACATAGGAGTCGTGCGTCTTTGAACTTCTTTATTGTCAGTTATAATGTTAAATGACGGTGCTTTATCTCAATCATTGTCTCAAATAGTCCGCATAAATATTTAGTTCGAGGTGTTCTGGAGTTCTTATTCTAAAGCGATTTTAAAGAACAAAAATTTTTGTATATGAGGATTTTACCAGCCCCTATGAGGACCTCTTACTTAAAGCTAAGGTGCCCTCCTTGCAGATTAGACGGATTAGAACAATGGCTCTAGAAACTTTTAAGATTATAAATAATATAGCTCCTGTGTGCTTACAAAATTTGGTGAGCGTCAAAAAATCTAAGTATTCTTTCAGGTATGTAAATATTCTGGATGTTCCACAGGTAAAGTCAACCCGTTACGGTAAAAAATCTTTCAAATTTGCTGCCGCTATTTTATGGAACAGCCTTCCAAACCATTTCAGGACTGAAAATAGTATTTCACATTTTAAAAGTCTTGTTCAGTCCTGGAACGGTTTGGAATGTCGCTGTTCTGCTTGCAGATAATTCTTGAGATGTTTATTATTTATGTTGCTTTTGGTTGCTCTGGTCTAGCATGTTTTATTTCATTTTAAATTTGTTGCTAAATTTTTATTGCATGCTATGTAAGTGAGATTTAACTTCGTATAACAGGTTGTTTTATATGTCAAATTAGACTGTTTTTATGTTATGTATATGTTTTTATATTCGGTCAAAAGCTCCTTAGAGCTTGTGTTGTGTCTTTTTAACTTATGCCGAATCAAAATAAAGTTTTCTTATCTTATCTTATACCGAACTCCAAGGGAAATTCAAAACGGAAAGTTGGCTAAGTTGGGACAATTAGAAATTAATTTCAGCAAGACTTAGTGTTAAGAAAAGGCGAACAACTAAAGAGCACGTTGACAATATTTAATTTTTTAAGCTAAGAGATACATTTTCAATTTTTGTTTTTGTTAAAGAGAATGAGGGGATACAGCGGGTGGGTGTTTAAGACGTGGCCTTGTACTCGTCGTTCGGTATATTTTTATAACTTTTATCCTTTCTGAATTAGGAAAACACTTTTGTCCATGATTTTAGTAAAGTTTTATCATGAAGTTTGTCCATTAGCATACATATACCGATAGTAGACTTTTGCGGAAACTGTCACACATCTACGATTATGATTACAATGCATTTAAATCTTGGGTCGTCTCAAAGTGTAAATATAAACCGTCGTTTCAAAACAAAGTCTAACGCCTATGACAATTTTCTACAGTTGAACAACGGGGTTTTTAAGAAATATATGTAGTATTGTGAACACATTAGTTATTGTACATGGTGTTATCAAGGTTGGGTATGATGTAAAAGTACGGAGTAAAATAGCATGGAAAAACATCATTTGATAAATTTTACATGATACATGAATACAAAAATCGCAACTGTCGTTGGCTAAGTTGGGATAATTAGAAATTAATTTCAGCAAGACTTAGTGTTAAGTAATGGCGATCAACTAAAGAGCACGTTGACAATATTTAATTTTTAAGCTAAGAGATACATTTTCCATTTTTTGTTTGTTAAAGAGAATGAGGGGATGCAGCGGGTGGGTGTTTAAGAACTATTCATTCTTCGTGGCCTTGTACTTGTCGTTCGGTATATTTTTATCATCTTTTATTTTTTCTGAATTGGGCATGGCACTTTTGTCCACGTCTTTGGTATAAAAAAATCAAAAATATACGAAAAAAACATCCTTGTGTCGAATATTAAATTTAAACTATTCATCGGAATCTGTTGTAAAATAGTGTACTTAAATAGTTAGAATTTTTTTCGTCAATCAGGATTATCTATCTTTTCAAATTAAGCAAGACCAATACCGGGTCTGGACCTGCGTCGCTGCATGTAACTGATATAGGTTGGATTATTATACTGAAGCATGAATGATCATTCCTTTTCATACATTCCTTGTGGAATGAGTCTTGTAAAATTTCAAAGTATCGCCAAACAGGAAGGCAGATGCAGTAATTATACTTACACGCTGGAACTTATAATTATTAATTATAACGAAATACAAGATGATTCCCTTCAATAGAAGCAAAGACATCTTTGAGGAAAGTTGTCTACCCAAGGTCTTTGGGAGGAATGGACGGACAGAATGAAGGACGGACAGAGTCCAGCGATTACTAGACCTGCTTTCACCTTCAGCGACGCAGGTAAAAATGACAACTGAGTTCTGAGTTGTTTGTATTGTGCAATTTTTATAGAGATTTTGGGAATCATTTGAGTATGGACATTTTTTTTCACAGTATCGATAATTCTTTCTCATAAACATGAGTGGGTCTGATGTGCTCGTAATATGAGGAGTAACGCATGATCCGAGACCGGTAAAATTTTCTTAAAATTGGACTATAGAGTGCACTTATGGCAATGTCCATTTCAACACAAAGTTTATCAGTAAAATCATTCCTTTGATTAAAAGGGATAAAAGGTGGAAAGGTATATAAGTCGGTTAGTGAGCAGTACTCTGTTTTTCGAGGAGAGCGTATGGTTCTCTGCTGTTTTTGGTAGTCGACAAAACATATCCGAACAGACATCCATTATTGACGCCTTATGCAAGACACCAGATTTTTCGAAAACCCCAGAATATGTAGAGGAAGTTTAGAAAATAAAATAGACTTATTACACACTATAGAGTAAAGGTTAAACACGCGATCATAGAATTAAACAAAAATAAAAGTTGTCCCCTCTTTGTTTATAAATACTGCCTGCTTCAGCTATCTCCGTTTCGATTTTTTCATATGTGCTCATCTAATTCACGCAGACATTGTTGTTTCCATTTCAGAAATCCGACATGCTTTTCAATTTCTCCACGTAAACGCGTACATTTTTGTTTCCTGTCGAATGTTTTCACTTTCCTACAAAATTGCGAAGTTGTCACCAATGTGGATGTTTTGGGTGTACAAAAATGCAGCGACGTACGGATAAAATTTGAACATTAAATCCGAAGCCTCTTGTAGGAAAACAGTCACGTTCTCTTCATGTTGAAAATCCTGTTACAACTCGTAGAGGAGTTCATTGAAAAAGAGACAGAAGAAACCAAACGAACAATCAAGGAGAAACCGACGACACCATGACAAACCCCGAAAAACGACGAAAAGACATACAACAGTCTACGAAAATACTACAAAGAAAAACCAAAGATTGAACAACAGGAACCCTACAGAAAACAGAGTGATCTCAGCTGCTCTTCCACAAGTAGCAAGTGCAAGTTATGTCGTTGTTGTAAAGCAAACTATGTGAGCCTGTCTAATGAGTCCTCATTTTCCAGTGGCAGTCTATACTTCTCGCCCTTCACCTTAATTGACCCTATTAACATAATCTACCCTATAAATTATAGTGAGTTTGACGGTTATAGTCCTGAACATACATTGAGTATATGTTTTTGGACGTTATGCAAATGACAATTAATCAATCTTTCAAATGGTTTATAATATAAACAAATATGAAAAAGTCTGTATAATGTAAAAACCGGAAACTGTCTTTTTGTGACAAGCTCGAATCGAACGTTGAGATTAGTTCTTGTCTTCAGAAATGTCCGAATACTGGTACTCTGGCATAGAACAGTTCTACACTGTTCTAAAACAATCCTATGAGTGTTCTAACGTACAATTGTTAAAATCATTTCTCGTCTAAGATAAAATTTTCAGAATATGTATTTTCATAATATGTCTTGCTTGAATCTGTTCTAAGCTAGAATTGTTATAATATTTTATTTTTTCAGAATTATTTTTATATTAGAGGGCAAACTGTCCAAACCTTTATTTTCATGGACAATAGGAATTATCCCTCTTAGTTGACATGTAGATCACTGTTTGTCCTAATCTATCAACAACAATGATTTTTTGTGACTTTGAAAATAAAATAAAAACTTAGGTTGTGACTTAAAACGGCGTCGATCATTATTATCCTAGTGCAATGAAAAAAACTTGAAGTTTAAAATGATCTTGAATACTTTGATTTCAAATTTGCAAATCAAATACCAGTACTTTGAGCTTGTATTCAATTTATAAAACAAATAGTTGAAGTATCATGTGAACATACTATTTTTATGTAACATGTAATTATAAAAAGGCCTTATTGTATCTGATGAATAACGCTTAGCAAAATTTAGATGTTAGCTAAGTCTGAGTTTTGAAAAGTAGTTTCTACGGAATTTGATACAATTCTTTTATCTTCCTTGGTCAAAAGTTGTTTTTGTTAAAATGAAACCGTTTGTTTTATATAATCGCAAACATGCATTCCTCAACTTACGTTTCGTTTTCCTTACAATTGCATCTGTGTTTACAGCGTAAGCCAAAGAAATTATCTGAACAGTCATCCTGACAATTATAACCGTATTTTCCTTCAGGACAGTCTGTAAATAGGAAAAGGAAGTCGTGCATTAATTATAAACATTGCACTGATAATAAAAAGAATTCGCGATTATTACCAATCACTTAACACTATTCTAAGTTTATAAGAGATTGACAACCCCTTTCTTACGATATACATTTTCCGCTCTTTGGTCGGGTTCTTGTCCCTTTGACACATTCCCCATTTCCATTCTCAATTTTATAACTTTAATAATGTTCAATGATTAAATACATATGTACGAAATACTAATTATCGAAACGATAAATGCCCAAAAGGAAACAAAGTAATTATTTTTGTACATTCACTATGCATCAAATTAAACTTAGTTTTACATGTTATTCATCATTTAAAGTGAAATCAACTTACCATCACATGTTTGGTTAATCTGATTAAACTTGTATCCTTGACAACATTCTAAAAATAACTTGCTGTTGTTGCTGTAAACGTTAAAACATCATATTAATGTTTAGGAACAGATAGAGGGGATTGACAAAAGACGAAGTAAACATATTTAGCAGTAGTGGAGCTTTATCATTTAAACGAATATGATTATTTTCTTTTCTGGATTGATTTTAATTGTATGGTATGAATCAAGGTATCAAAATCTAAGAGGAGGACTGTTCCCTTACGAAACTTTTAAATCCCAAACATATGTCTTGTTAGCGGTTTTTTCTTTGTTGGTTGAGACTTTGGTGTTGGTGTTAGGAATTACACGAATTAAGTCGTCTCTGTTTAAAACGTTCACAATTTATCTGTAAACAAAGACCTATTTATAGCTTGAAATGAAGTATGGCATCTTGTCTATTGTGGAAGCTCACTTATTGATCTAATACAAGTCTATTGAAGCAATTTGTAAAAATAAGTCACTCCAATCTTCCTCTGTTTTTGTTAGCAATTATTTCAAAGATATACATTATTCATTATGATATATGCAGCGATTTTATTGACTGACGCCTTTTATCTTGACTGTTACTTGAAAATATTTAACGATGAGCCCAAAACAATAAGAGTCTAATGCGAAAGTGTTTTTTTATCAGCGACAAAATAAATTCGGCATTCTATTTTTATATTATTATAAATTCTTTATTACCTTGAACTTTACAGTTCATCGGTGTTAATACAAAATTTCAATGTAAACAAGTAAACAAGTAAACAAGTAAAATGACAGAGAATGTTCATGTTATGATGTGGTCTCTGATTTTAAATGCAGTAAAAATGTATTTTCCTAAATTGGTTAACTGTTTGATGTTCTTTAAACTCAAAAGTTCAATAAATATAAACACACTTGGCCTAGACCAGTAATATCTCTTAATAAATTTTACTCTAAGTTCCTTATATTTCGGACACACTAAAATGAAATAGAATTCGTCTTCATTACACTGACGGCAAGTTGTACATATACGACGTGACAACTATGTACATGTACAAGTAAGTGTTCTTTCGTGCATTTTTCTCTCTGTACCATGTTATTCCATTTACGGAATTAATAGCGGTTTGACTCTGGCACATACTTTGAAACTTGTCCATAGTGTCCAGAACTTCGTCATTGGAATTTTTTTTTCAAACTGTTTTCATCCATTTTAACTTATGTTATTAACATGATTAAAACATTTTTTATAGTCCCTGTTGAACTCTCTCATAATTTTAATAAACTATGGGCAGTTTTTATATTTTCTGTAATAATATGGTTCAATATGTAAATGTGTGCATCGCCAAATATAAGAGAATAAAAAAAACAATGGGTATTGCATGTTTAACACATTCACTGATTATATTCCAGGATAGTATGGTTGCTAACAAATGCAAAAATTGTAAAGAAAGTCTTGCTTACTGTTTCAGAATACACTATTGATTACATGTATATAGGTTTTTCTGTGTGTTCATATAATAAAGCATGCAAATGTACTGAGGAAAAACAAATACTTACTTCTTTTTCTGACAAACCCCTGCGCCTAAAGAAAGTGCAGAAATATTTGTTGTATCAATAATTAATACAAGCAAAAGCAGCAACATTTTGTCAAACGAAACAAGAACAATTAAATCAACTCATCACCGATAAAGATGAGACTGTCGTCAAATATAACTTTTAAGGACTTTTTAATTTTTATCTATATTTTACGGAAACAATTAATTACTGTGTGCTCTTAATTTTGATGTTAATATTTCCCGGTGATTGACCTAAAATAACCAATAAATTCGATATTCTGTATTGCATCTTCTTCACAAAATGTTAAGAAGGTCATGGTTTTGCCCAAACTTTAATAAAGTTTGCATCGATGATGCCAAATCTGGTGAAAATGAAAATATTTTTCTAAAAAATCAAAAACATTTGGTAGAATTTCTCGTATAAGGTATCTCTCTTTTTATAAAATAGTACCCTCAGAATTATAGGTTCTAATCTTCTGCCACAAAATGCAGGAAGGATGCGGAAATAATTTTTTAATCAAATTTCTTGATTTTCACAAAAATAAAAAAATAAAACACTAATTGGGAAAACGAGAAATTTTGTTTTAACTGTCTAAACACAAAGATAAACAAATGGAAATAAACGATGTCAAATATAACACAAAATAAGTAAATTGTCTTTGGATGATAATAAACTTGTTCCCCTAGGCCCCTATAGACACTCGTTTTTTTTCTGTCTGTCTTTCAGTCCGTCAACACTTCTTTCGAATAGAACGCCACATGTGGGGTGTTAGCTATATTTCACACGATGTGGCGGTTTCGAAGCGAAGAACAAGAGTGCACACGCTGAAATGTCTCGCCTTCTTTACTAATCATTGATATTATGTTGATAGTTCTAAATATAAAGCTTTACTACAACTATCACATAAACTTAACATGAATCAAGAAAATGAGGTCAAGGTCATATAAACCAAACAAGAAATACATGTACACCTTACAATCATTCAATACACTAAATATAGTTGACCTATTGCTTATAGTTTCTAAGATACAGACTTAACCAAGAAAACTAAACATTGATTAATGAACCATGAAAATGAGGTCAAGGTCAGATGAACCATGCCAGGCAGACATGTACAGCTTGCAATTCTTCCATACAACAAATATAGTTGACCTATTGCTTATAGTAATAGAAAAACAGACCAAAACACAAAAACTTAACACTGAGCTATGAACCGTGAAAATGAGGTCAAGGTCAAATAAAACCGGCCAGACTGACATGTACATCATAAAATATTTCCATACACCAAATATAGTTGACCTATTGCATATAGTATTAGAAAAAAGACCAAAACTCAAAATATTTAACATTGACCATTGAACCATGAAAATGAGGTCAAGGACAAATGACACCTGCCAGACAGACATGTTCACCTTATAATCATTCCATACACCAAATATAGTTGACCTATTGCTTATAGTATTAGAAAAACAGACCAAAACACAAAAACTTAACATTGACCAATGAACCATGAAAATGAGGTCAAGGACAAATGACACCTGCCAGTCAGACATGTATACCTTACAATCATTCCATACACCAAATATAGTTGACCTATTGCTTATAGTATTAGAAAAACAGACCAAAACACAATAAAATGCTTCGCCGGGCGCAGCTTGATACGACCGCAGAGGTCGAACCCTGAACAGTTGGGGCAAGTATGGACACAACATTCAAGCTTGATACAGCTCTGAATTTGGATTGTGATTAAATATTTGACACAGCATAGGTTTCTGACACAGAAAGAATGTGGTCTAAGAACTTCAATTTTTTTAATTTACCTATTATGGTCCAATTTCCAAAATCAAAATACATGGTTAGATTCAGCATATCAAAGAACCCCATATATTCAATTTTTGTTGAAATCAAACAAAGTTTAATTTTGGACCCCAACTTGGACAAACTTGAAAACTGGTCCCATAAACAAAAATCTAAACACATGTTTAGATTCAGCATATCAAAGTACCCCAAGAATTCAATTTTTGTTAAAATCAAACTAAGTTTAATTTTGGACCCTTTGGACCTTAATATAGACCAATTTAAAAATGGGACCCAAAATTAAAAATCTAAAAACACGGTTAGATTTGGCATATCAAAGAACCCCAAGAATTCAATTTTTGATGAAATCAAACAAAGTTTAATTTTGGACCCTTTTGACCTCAATATGAACCAATTTGATAGCGGCCCACAAATAAAAAATCTAAATACATGGTAAGATTCAGCATATCAAAGAACCCCATATATTCAATTTTTGTTGAAATCAAACAAAGTTTAATTTTGGACCCCAATTTGGACCAACTTGAAAACTGGGCCAAAAATCTAAAATCTAAATACATGTTTAGATTCAGCATATCAAAGAACCCCATATATTCAATTTTTGTTGAAATCAAACAAAGTTTAATTTTGGACCCCAACTTGGACCAACTTGAAAACTGGGCCCATTATCAAAAATCTAAACACATGTTTAGATTCAGCATATCAAAGAACCCCAAGAATTCAATTTTTGTTAAAATCAAACTAAGTTTAATTTTGGACTCTTTTGACCTCAATGTGGACAAAGTTGATAACGGGGCCCAAATATCAAAAATCTAAATACATGGTTAGATTCAGCATATCAAAGAACCCCATATATACAATTTTTGTTGAAATCAAACAAAGCTTAATTTTGGACCCTTTTGACCTCAATATGAACCAATTTGATAGCGGGGTCCACAAATAAAAAATCTAAATACATGGTTAGATTCAGCATATCAAAGAACCCCATATATTCAATTTTTGTTGAAATCAAACAAAGTTTAATATTGGACCCCAATTTGGACCAACTTGAAAACTGGGCCAAAAATCTAAAATCTAAATACATGTTTAGATTCAGCATATCAAAGAACCCCATATATTCAATTTTTGTTGAAATCAAACAAAGTTTAATTTTGGACCCCAACTTGGACCAACTTGAAATCTGGGCCCATTATCAAAAATCTAAACACATTTTTAGATTCAGCATATCAAAGAACCCCAAGAATTCAATTTTTGTTAAAATCAAACTAAGTTTAATTTTGGACCCTTTTGACCTCAATGTGGACAAAGTTGATAACGGGGCCCAAAAATCAAAAATCTAAATACATGGTTAGATTCAGCATATCAAAGAACCCCATATATTCAATTTTTGTTGAAATCAAACAAAGTTTAATTTTGGACCCTTTTGACCTCAATATGAACCAATTTGATAGCGGGGTCCACAAATAAAAAATCTAAATACATGGTTAGATTCAGCATATCAAAGAACCCCATATATTCAATTTTTGTTGAAATCAAACAAAGTTTAATTTTGGACCCCAATTTGGACCAACTTGAAAACTGGGCCAAAAATCAAAAATCTAAATACATGTTTAGATTCAGCATATCAAAGAACCCCATATATTCAATTTTTGTTAAAATCAAGCAAAGTTTAATTTTGGACCCTTTGGACCTTAATGTAGACCAATTTGAAAACTGGACCCAAAATTAAAAATCTAAATACACGGTTAGATTCGGCATAACAAATAAATAAATGTGGTCAAAGATTTTACAAATCTAATGCGCATACTGTCCAATTAAAGATTACTTCTTGAAATTTTTCAATATTTGAAATTTGAAAAAAAAATAATATTTGAAGAATAATTCTTTTTAATTTCTGAAATCTGAAATGAGAAAAAATTGACCCCCCCCCCTTTTTTCCCCCCAAAAATTCTTTCCCTCAAGATATGGTCATAATCTCAATTCAAATTTCCAATGGAGTTTGCAACTATAATTACCCATTTAAATTTACCATAGTGCTAACTTAATCTATTTTATAATAGAATTTAAAATATAGTGTCAAATCTTTCATATGGATTTTTTTGTGAAAAAAAAAGATGCAACATTTGCAGATATTTTTACTGGTCTTCCTTTATAAATATGCATTTCTTTAAACATAATTTAAAAGCAGTGTAAGGGAAGTAACCAAAACGTTGTATTTGGATTACCTCCCTTACACTGTTTTAAATTATCTTAATTGTTCATTAACCATTACTTTATACATAATTTAAAAGCAGTGTAAGGGAGATAATTTCAATGATGAATTTGATTTATCTCCCTTACACTGCTTTAAATTATGTTTTGTAATAAAGTATTTGTCCATTAACCAGGACAACCTTGTTTTCCCCCCTTTTTTGCCCCTAATTCTTAAACGGTTTGAGCCATAACCCCCCAAAGCAAATCCTAACCATCCCTTTGTGGTATGGAAACTTGTAGTATAATTTCAGAGAGATCCATACACCGTTCCACAGTTATTGTCTGGAAACTAGAAAATGCTTATTTTTGGCCCCTTTTTGGCCCCTAATTCCTTAACTGTTGGTACCATAACCCCCAAAATCAATCCCCACCTTCCTTTTGTGGTATTGAACCTTATGGTAAAATTTCATAGAGATCCATTCACTTAAACTAAAGTTAGAGTGCGAAAACTAATGCGTATTCGGACGACGACGACGACGACGCCGGACGACGACGACGACGACGCCAACGTCATACCAATATACGACCACAAAAATTTTTTTGCGGTCGTATAAAAACTTAACATTGACCAATGAACCATGAAAATAGGTCAAGGACAAATGACACCTGCCAGACAGACATGTACACCTTACAATCATTCCATACACCAAATATAGTTGACCAATGGCTTATAGTATTAGAAAAACAGACCAAAACACAAAAACTTAACATTGACCAATGAACCGTGAAAATGAGGTCAAGGTCAGATGAAACCTGCCAGACTGACATGTATCCCTTATAATCATTCCATACACCACAATAAGCTGACCTACAGCTTGTAGTATCTGAGAAACGGACCTAATCACGTAACTTTAACCTTGATCACTGATCCATGAAATGAGGCTGAGGTCAGGTGAACCCTGTCTGATGGACATGTAGACGTAGTAAGGAACCCATATACCAAATATAGTTATCTTATTACTCATAATAAGTGAGAAATTTACATAACAAAAAAACTAAACTTTTTTTTCAAGCAGTCGCTGAACCATGAAAATAAGGTCAAGGACATTGAACATATGACAGACGGAAAGTTCGTAACATAAGGTATCTGCATACAAAGTATGAAGCATCCAGGTCTTCTACCTTCTGAAATATAAAGCTTTATACAAATAGTTTACGCCGCCGTCGCCGCCGCCGCCGCCGCCGCCGCCGCCGGATAGTAATACCTATGTCTCACTTTCTGCGACTTTCGTCGCAGGCGAGACAAAAACGATCAAGGTAAGTAACAGTATCAACTTTTCCCTTTTTGAGAACTGTTAGCACCATATAATGTATTGCACGTAAGGTACCGATCAATAATCAATTTCCAGCAAGCAGATACAGATGTCCACGGTCCTCTGTTTTCTCAAACAGCCCTCCTCAGTTTTCCGTGTCGCAGATTTTGAGACATAACATGCAAGTTTCAGTATATAAACTACTTTGGGCGACCTATTTCCATACTTTTTACATAGAAATGAATTCACATCATAGAATCAGATCTAATGGTTGCTTCCAAGTCAATATTTCCTGGATTTTAAAGTATACGTTTCATCAAAATGTTATATGTCGCACGGGTCTGGGAGATATTGCATCTGACGGTGGTGAGACATTCATTATAAACAATGATGATTTTGCCTTTAACTCTGTCTTCATCAAAAAGTAATAGGCATAGAATGAATAGAAAGGCTTCGGCTTAAATGCCAAGAAGACAATAACCAATTTTCAAAACAATCTAGTAGAACAAATTGTCGTATTTTGAACTGACAAATTGTTCCGATTCCTGTTCTTACATATCAAAGTTATGATATAGAAAATGGGCTAGTATATATACGTTGTTTTTGGATTTTATTCATCGTAAACAAGAATAAATACAAAACTTTCTATTTTCGATATTTAGTGTGACTCGTAGTACAAAATTTGCTTACATTTGCGGAGTATTTGCGTTCAAGACATAGTTAGGTTTGGTAATGTCCAACCAAAGGAACAACGTCTCCAGCTTCAGAAGCATTATCGGAGTGCCAGTACCATCAATGACGACTGCAAATATTAATTTTTTTTTTAGAAACAAATCATTCATCATTGGCATTATTCAAAGTAAAATATAACAATATGGGTAAGTGTAACAAGGAAAGAATGATTTATCGTATGACTCTGACACAACGCCCCAGGAAAGATATGACTATACCCAAAAGATCACAGAAATGCATGATTTTCAACTTCCTTTGACAAATAACCCAAACGGTGATCGTAAAAAAACCCAGTTGGAACCACTATATTTTGACCTTTAATTGTCTTTGATGATTGTGTAATTAGGAAACTGTCTCATTTACGCTTACCCCACAGAAACAATCTCACTTTATTCCTACGATAGAGGAAATGTGAATCAGGTTTTGAAATTTCAAGATTTAAAAGATATGTTTGTGTAAACCTCGTCTAGTTCAACTATATCAAAGCATTTTACTTTCAACCCTTTTTACAAGTATTCCCATCCTAAACTTCAGATTGCAAGAATTTTTCCAACTTTTATTCATATAAACGAATGACCTATGTACCCATAAATATCTTTTTTTAGCATTAAGGTGGTACATAACACTACAGGGAGATAACTCTGTAAAAATCAGCTGAACGTTTTAATCACGTTCTATTGTTAAGGAAGTATTAAGGTTCTCAATGATCAAAATTAGTGTTTGTCAAACTGCTATATATCCAATGAAAATTTTCCAATAAAGTGTGTGTTTCAAGTTTTTTGAAATTTTTATATTTTTGTCAAAGGGTCAAAGTAAATATTTTGTCAAAATTTTTATGAAAATTAAACGAGCCAAATTAATTTTAGTCAAGGTGTTTGGTACCTCCTTAAGGTACAAAACATACTTCGTAAAAGCCACTATGTTTCAAACAAAACTTTCTGCGAACCAGACATGATAAATATGCGTACATTTGTATTGACAACATATTTGTTAAGTTTAGTGATTGTCTTTTTCAATATCAATGTCCATACAGGGATTATGTGTATTTCTCTTCACACCGCTTTGTTCCTGTATTCGGAATTGATAAGCTTTATACCGGGGTTTCTCAGAAAAATGTTAAGAAACATTTGCCATTAATTTCACGTCCCGCTTTATGGATGTTGTTACTATGTTGATCGAATACATCCCTAACAACATGGAAACAAAGAATGGTACAGTTATGTATTCTTGATAGATATGAAAATGAATCGTAAAAATTATGATAAATTCATGATGAGTATTTAAAAAGAAATACGATAATAACAATAACAATAATAATAATAAAATAAGTTACTCGTTGTTACGTTAGAAAATTAAAAAGACAAGGACACGACAATGTGTAACATGCTATACATACCCCAAAACAAAATGCGTCCACTTTAGATTAAAGCTTTAAAACAATAATGAACATTTTATAACAGTGCACATTATAAGGCCACACCAATTTGATTTTTAGTTCTTCGGACAAAAGCTCCAAAAAATATGGGGCGAGCGAGCGAAATTTTTTTGATTGTATTTATTTCTTGAAAATGAGTTTTGTTGAGGCGGGTGCTCTACAAGTGGAGCGAGCGGTATAATATTTTTTTAAATTGTGCGATTTAGAATTTTATGTACATGTAAAACTGGTTACTTCAAAGAAAAAGGAAGATAAACATGCTCTTATGCATATAATTTGATGTATTTGTGCCTGTAGTACAGTCTGTACCATACCCAACTTTTTGGTTATTATATATATATAAAGGAAGCATAGCAGATGCAGTTTAGCAAGAGGAATTATGTTAGTGAGGTAAATTTAAATGAAATGTGTTGAATACAATTAAAATATGTGTATGTATTCCAAAAAATGCCCTCAAAAATATTAATTATCTTTTGATATAGTTGTTCTTATTATATGGTAATGATTGTTTATTGGCTGCTTGACATCCAGTTGGAACTATTTATCCATAATAGGATCAACATAATGAGTAAGGTGAATAGTTCAACAACATCCTCAGTAAGATAATACGTTATAATTGCTATGCATGTAGATCTCAATTTATTAAAACATTCCCTTAAAATACACATGCATTATTCTGACTTAGCAAAATACTTTTTCCTTTTGCCCCTGAAACCTGCAATGTATTTCAAACTGTAAGTGGTTGCACCAATAACACATCCCTAATTATTATTAGCATGCCAATCCCAATACCACCACTTTGGTCTCAAACGTTGGAACTCTAAAATTTTCCCTTACAAAAGAGTTCTGATTGCATGTCAATAGACTAACAAGGGGATATGAGGTTTTCATTAAAATAAGATAAATCTGTCATTTTTTAAAAACTCGTGTGAATTTAATATTAATGTCATCCAAGACAGATAGATCTTTCTATGTCTGTTGTAATCCGGGATAACTCTGACGTCAAACGGCTGTTTTGCCAGAAAAGCTGGGGCCGTGGGACAACAGCGCTCCATCTTATCTGGCAAAACAGCCGTTGGGCGTCAGAGTAATCTCGGACTAAGTCTGTTGAAACAATGATCGGGGATGACAATGGTTCTAACTTCCAACATGACAACAAGTACTGATGTGATCGTGGTCACCTAAAGAAAGATTTGTTTTATTTTTGTCTACTAGAACAGGTCTTCATAGGTAAAACGAAATGCGTTTAAAATAACTGTGTGTTTAATAACTACTTGTCCTTGGCAATGATCTGACACAACTTCATTTTGGCATCCCGATTTTTGACCTTTTATTTACAAATCGATTTATCACACGTGCGTTTGAATCGATCAGAGCAATATAAGAAACTGGAGGTAGGAAATGAACGAATCATTGCCATAACCATAGCAACCGATCCTATGCTTTGTATCATCAACGCATATATGCCTACAATAAATACTAACTCTGAAACACAATACTCTGAATGCCTAGATATAATCTTCGACATCATTGAAAAATATCAATCCAAATATGTTATAATTCTGGCTGGCGATCTTAATGGGACCCTTCTTCAGACTAGAACAAACAAACACGATAGATTGTTGAGGGACTTTGTCCAGGAAGTTTCTCTTTTTCGACCAGATATAGGCAATCAACCTACCTTCTTCCATCATGCTCACCATGGATCCTCACAGATTGATTATATTCTTTCCAACAGGAATAATTTATCTAAAAAGTACTGTATTCTAGATAAATCCTATGCCAACACTTCAGCACATTGTGCAGTTATTCTACAAACAAATATCAGCATTCCTCTTCTTGTCAACAATATAAGTCAAAAGAAAATCACAAAAACGAAAGTCTTGTGGGAAAAAAGGGACGAAGAGAAATATAGGGAAACAATCCTAAATGAGTTGCTTCATAAGGATATTCCAACACTGGAAATTGATCAGCAAATAGATATTATTTCAAATTCACTTTTTAATGCTCAAAAACAGTTTATTCCGTCCAAAATTACACAGTTGAAAGGTCCAAAATGGAAGGCTTCCCCTGAAGTTACAGTTTTGCTTAAGATGTGTAAAGTTCTCTACAACAAATGGGCAGAGTTGGGCAAACCAACTGGACATCCGTTATCTCTTGAATTAAGGACCCATAAAAAAAAGCTTCGGCAACGCCAACGAATGGAACAAGCTATCGACAGAAATACCATTCATAGCCAAATTATGAACACCTCTAGCTCACAAATGTTCCATAGAATCATCAGAAGAAATATGGGTGACAACTCTCAATCAGCAATAAATTGTATAATAAAATGCTCTGCAGGGCGCAGCTTGATACGACCGCAGAGGTCGAACCCTGAACCGTTGGGGCAAGTATGGACACAACATTCAAGCTTGATACAGCTTTGCATTTGGATTGTGATTAAATATTTGACACAGCATAGGTTTCTGACACAGAATGAATGTGGTCTAAGAACTTAAAATTTTTAAATTGGACATTCACCTATTATGGTCCAATATCCAAAATTTAAATACATGGTTAGATTCAGCATATCAAAGAACCCCAAGAATTCAATTTTTGATGAAATCAAACAAAGTTTAATTTTGGACCCTTTTGACCTCAATGTGGACAAAGTTGATAACGGGGTCCAAAAATCAAAAATCTAAATACATGGTTAGATTCAGCATATCAAAGAACCCCATATATTCAATTTTTGTTGAAATCAAACAAAGTTTAATTTGTTTAATTTGGACCCCGATTTGGACTAACTTGAAAACTGGGCCCATAATCAAAAATCTAAATACACTGTTAGATTCAGCATATTAAAGAACCCCAAGAATTCAAGAATAAAACCCCATTGAAATTGGTCAAGAAATAAGCAATTTATACGAAGTATCTTCTTTTGCACAATACTGTGCAATTAAATATTTCTTGCTATTGCGCAATACTGTACAATTGACAATTTCTTGCTATTGCGCAGTATTGTGCTATTGGATATTTCTTGCTATTGCGCAATACTGTGCAATTGAAGATTTCTTGCTATTGCGCAATACTGTGCAATTGAAGATTTCTTGCTATTGTGCAATACTGTGCAATTGAAAATTTCTTACTATTGCACAATACTTATTATATAATAATTTACACATCCTGTTTGGTGTGTATCTCCTACCATATCATTATTATTTGCTTTTAAATATAAATCAGAAATAACCAACTTAAAATGGAAAATTTTAAAAGAAAAAAAAAAGGAAAAAAAGAAAAAAAAGGAAAAAAAAAAATCCCCCCCCAATTTTTTGAACCCCCTTATGATTCATCACCCCCAAACTCAATCCCAGCCTTCCCTTTGTGGTATGGTACCTTGCAGTACAATTTCAGAGAGATCCATACACTTGAACATTTATAAGTTATTGTCTGGAAACTAGAAAGATGTGTTTAGTGGCCCCTTTTTGGCCCCAAATTCCTAAACGTTTAGGGCAATTACCCCCAAACTCAAACCCAGCTTTCCCTTTGTGATATGGAACCTTGTAGTACAATTTCAGAAAGATCCATACACTTGAACACAAGTTATTGTCCTGAAACTAGAAAAAATCTCGTTTTTTGCCCCTTTTTGGCCCCTAATTCCTAAAATATTGAGGTAATTACCCCCATCATCAATCCCAGCCTTCCCTTTGTGGTATGGTACCTTGCAGTACAATTTCAGAGAGATCCATACACTTGAACACAAGTTATTGTCTGGAAACTAGAAAAATGCTTATTTTTGGCCCCTTTTTGGCCCCCAATTCCTAAACGTTTCGGCAATTACCCCCAAACTCGATTCCAGCTTTCCCTTTGTGATATGGAACCTTGTAGTACAATTTCAGAAAGATCCATACACTTACACACAAGTGAATGTCATGAAACTAGAAAAATGCTTGTTTTTTGCCCCTTTTTTTGGCCCCTAATTCCTAAAATTTTGAGGCAATTACCCCAAAATCAATCCCAGCATTCCTTTTGTGATATGGAACCTTGTGGTACAATGTATGAGAGATCCATACTCTAACACACAAGTTATGTCTGGAAGTTACAAAAATGCTTATTTTTGGCCACTTTTTGGCCCCTTATTCCTTTACTGTTGGTATCATAACCCCCAAAATCAATCCCAACCTTCCTTTTGTGGTATTGAACCTTGTGGTAAAATTTCAAAGAGATCCATTCACTTAAACTAAAGTTAGTGTGCGAAAACCAATGTGTCTTCGGACGACGCCGGACGACGACGACAACGACAACGACGACGACGACGCCAACGTCATACCAATATACGACCACAAAAATTTTTTTGCGGTCGTATAAAAACTGATGGGAATGAATATCTGTTTCTGGCTAAAGACCAAAGGAAAGCATTTGCAAGCTATTACGAAGACTTAAGTGCTCCAAAACCTGAACAATACGATGATCTATATGTAAATTTATGCAAAATCCGTCAAAAAGAAATGATGAAAACTATACAAGACCAGGAAATACCTTCCAATTATTTTACAGCTGTTGATATAATTAAAGCTATTGAAGAATTAAATATGAATAAAAGTAGTGACGAATTTGGACTTTGTGCTGAACATCTCAAATTTTGCAAAAACGAAATAGCACCTTATCTAACTAAACTTTTCAACAATATAATAGTAACTCTAAGGACTCCAGGTACCTTTAAAACTGGCATTCTCTTCCCCGTCTTAAAAAAGGATAAGGATCCCTCTGATGTAAACAGCTACCGGGGTATCACAGTAACCCCAGTTCTAGGAAAAGTCTTCGAATACTGCATTTTACCAAAACTCAATCTTCAAAATATTACGGATTTACAGTTTGGCTTCACTAAAGGCCTAAATCCTCTTATCTCTAGCTTCATTATATCTGAATCAAAATATGATCAAACAAGGTTAAACAGTGAATTCTATATGGGTTTCTTGGATGTCAAATCAGCCTTTGACGTGGTACAGCATGACATTATTCTAGATAAATTATTAGACTCAAATATTCCCTCCTTTCTATGGTTGGTGATTAAAGATCTATATTCTAATTTGACAACAAAAGTACAATGGCAAGGCGATCTTAGCGAAAAATTTTCTGTCCACTAAGGCGTACGACAAGGTGGAACTTTATCAACTCATCTCTACAAAATCTTCGTACAAGATCTACTCCTAGAACTAGAAAGAAACTCTTTAGGCTTAAACACTGGAAATATTTTTGTCGGTACTCCTACTTCCGCTGATGACATGGCTTTTATTGAAACAAATAGAGACAATCTTCAAATTATGCTCAATATTTCAGAAAGATATTCTAACCAACACCACTACAAAATTCATCCTACAAAAACAAAAATTGTCACATGTGGAAAGGGCACAAACCCTGATTGGACTCTATATGATACTCCGGTTACAGTATCAAAAGAAGCAACTCATTTAGGTATAACTAGAAGCTGGAAAAAGGAAGGAGAAATAAATGTGGCAAATAGAATTAAGCTTGCAAGACGAACTTTGTATGCACTAATGGGCTCTGGGGTGCATGGGACAAATGGTTTGGATCCAGTAACGTCTTATAAAATCTACAACACATATGTTCTGCCGAGACTCCTTTATGGTTTGGAAGCCATTCCTTTAAATAAGACCAATATAACACAGCTGGAATCTTTTCATAGAAAGAATTTAAGACATTTCCAATCTCTTCCTCAACGTACGGCAATAGCTGCAATATACCTCTTGATTGGCGGACTCCCAATCGAAGCGGAACTTCACAAAAAGCAATTGTCTTTTCTTCACAATTTACTTTCTTCGAACGTTCAAAGAGTTAAAGATATCATCATTAGACAAATTTCGGTTAACTATGATAACCCGAACAGCTTTTTCTCTACAATTCGAGAAATCTTACTGAAGTATGGACTGCCTCCGATTCATCTTCTTCAGAAATCTCTCCCTTCAAAAATGAAATGGAAATCTTTGGTAACAAAGCAATTGAATACCTACTGGTTAAATACTTTAAAAGACGATGCTGAATCTAAATCAACCCTAAGATATATGGAAACTAAACATCTACTTATTGGCAAAAACCATCTAGTTTGGAATATCTTTGACAAAACAAAAGCTGAAGTTCGAAAAGCTATCATTAAAACTAGAATAGTTTCAGGAACATTTATACTAAATTCAGATAGAGCAAAATTTAATCAATCACCTTCTCCAATTTGTCAATTATGTAACTTTTTTGAGAAAAACATCTCTCATTTTCTCCTGGATTGTCCTCTGTTATCCAAAACTAGAAACACGTATTTTGAACCGATCAAGGACTATGTTACTCAACATACAACAGCAGAAGTTTGGCACAGTGTCTTTCAATACAAACCAAACATTATCAGGCTAATTATAGACTGCAGTCATTTCTCACAAATACTAACAAATAAAAATATAATGAACAAGATAGAAGCCAAAACTAGGGAGATGTGCTACAGACTATATATAAAGCGCTTAAAGTTGCTTGAGGCAATGGATGGTTGACGGTCTGAAATAAACAGTTTTTAGTCCGTATAATTTGTGTTTTATTATTCATAAATGACAGCTGGATTTTATGTGTAAATAGAAGAGTTTTACTGTGTATATTATCCTTGGACATTGACTTTTAAAGTATATAATATACATTATATTTTACCGTGTAAATATTACTTTTACTTGGATTTTATCCTTGGTGTTCCTTATAAAGGAAGCTAATACAGAGAGAAGAAGAAAGAAGAAGAAGCACAAGAAAAACGTCTAAAAGAAAAAAATTGTCAAGGATAAACTTATTTTGGAGCGGCATGCGGCCCTAAAATTGGCGGAAGCGGTAATTATTTTTCTTAATTGAAAAGTCAATTTCTCCAAAACAGGAGCGGGAAAATCCAAAGAACTATTAATCAAATTGGTGTGGCCTAATGAAGAAAATGTTGTCTGAATGAACCCGATGATTGTGACAAGACTTCCATGTATCCTCCAGGAATATCTTCATAAAACACAACAGTTACTGCAAGCAAATAAGTACAGAAGTAGGTAAAACTTTATTTTTATTCGGCGTGTTGACACACAAATTAAACGTGTGCTCTAATGAGCTTTTCATCGAATTATAAAAACACATACAATCACAAATAAAAAAGGAACGCAGCATGCAAATAAATAGTAATAAAAAAGCACCACATCAACTCTGGCATATATATATGTATCTTGCTAACACTAAAAGCATATATATGAAGCACTAAGACATACTATGAATAAACTGCTTCGCTGAGTGCAGCTGGATACGCCCGCAGAGGTCCAACCCTGAACAGTTGGGGCAAAAATGGACACAATATTCAAGCTTGATACAGGTCTGAATTTGGATTGTTATTAAATATTTGACATATTATAGGTTTCTGAATAAATGTAGTCAAAGAACTTGAAATTGGTTATATGAATTGAATTTAGTCAATTAAAGATTTCTTGCTGTTGTGCAATACACAATGCTGTTGCGCAATACTTAGTAAATCTGTTGTCAGACTATAAATAAATAAAATTTATAAAATTCTAAAGGGAGCTTACATCAATAGATATAATCAATTCACCAAAGTTTCATAAGAATTGCTGAAAGCATTTTTGAGTTATTGTCTGAAAACTGGAAAATCCCCCCTTTTTTAATGAATAAAACCCCATAACTCGGAAATGTAAAATCTAAAACTTATAAAAATCAAAAGGGAGCTCATGTCAATAGATATAAACAATTAACCAAAATTTCTTGCAAGTTGGTGAAAGCATTCTTGAGTTATTGTCCGAAAACTGGAAAATCCCCCTTTTTTTAATGAATAAAACCCCATAACTCGGAAACGTAAAATCTAAAATTTATAAAAAACGAAAGGGAGCTCACGTCAATAGATATAAACAATTCACCAAAGTTTTATGCAAATTGGTTAATGCGTTTTTGAGTTAATGTCCGACATGTTGACGACGGACTGACAGACGGACGGACAGACGGAGGGACAGACGGACAACGATATACCATAAAACGTCCCGTAAACGGGCGTATAAAAAAGAATAATTTATAAATAATGTGAAGCTTAAAAGTTTCAGTAAATAATTTAAAGTAAAACTATAATTCTTGTAATTAATAAAAAGTAAAAAAATCAATTACAAAGCAAGCTGTTTTTGCAGCATAACAGTGCATAAAAAATGTATAACAAATTACCTGCAGGGAGAGCAAAAACAGTCCGATCCACTACAGGACTGAACAAGACTTCTAAAACGTGTGAAGCTATTTTCAGTCCTGAAGTGGTCGGTAAATTATTCCATAAAGAAGCAGCAGCAAAGCTAAAAGATTTCTTACCGTATATAAAGCAAAAATCACATTTGAATTATCAGATGTTCCCTCATGAACGATTTCTATTATGTGTATCGTCAAAGAAGCTATAAATAGTCTATTTATTTAATAAACAGTTTTATATTATTCGTGTTATTTTTTTTTTATGTAAATGTGTTACTAGTAATTCGTACTTTGTAGTGCATTTCTTTCTTTTTTGGTATTAAACTACATTACTACTGCATATTTTATGCGAAGTGAACCTGGGAACAGTATATCTAGTCAATATATATGTTCCTGAGTGAACTGACTCTTTCAATGTAACTGGTAATTTCAACAAATTTCAGCTGAAAGAGCTCGTTTTTTGAAAATTAGTGTAACTAAGAAGACTTTTACTTAATCAAATAGGTTATCTTAAAGGATAAACATAACTTACTTGTAACGTCGCAAATTAAATCTAAAAATGAAAGTTGGAAATTCCAGAGTTTATATTTGACTCATAAACAAAGTCGTCTTTTCAAAATATCTAGGTCAATGATGCATCTTACAGCAAGTTGATACAGAATTCGTGTTTTTTTTTTGTGTGTTCCATGGTCATGCAATTTATTCAGGTATGTTTTCTTTATTTACCTTTAAAAAAGACAACATCTATTAATAGCTTGGGGCATAAAAGGGGAGATTATATGCATATATATATATATTTATATATATAAAGGTTACAATGTATAACTTTATACTAAAATAAAGTTACTTGGGCGCAGCCATTCGTGAACATGACATAGAGATGAAAATAGCTGGCCATCTGTGATTGGTTGTCATATCATTTATATATTTTCCTCCTGGAAAGCATTATGAATAAAGTTTCATGCAAGCACAAATTTGTCCTCAAATGAATACGATCAAGGGCCGGAAATGTTTTTTTTTATTTTGATCAAAATTGGGGAAAATTTTCTGCGAAATCGTAAGGTATGGTAAAAAACCCAAAAACTCACCAAGAAAAGCCATGGGACCATATATAATTAAGTGCGGTAAAATCACAAATAGATATCGAGCTCAAATTAGACAACAGCAGTTTTTTCCCTAAATAGTTTATTAAAAACGCCATTTAAGGAGATAAAAAATAGCATTGCCGGCAACCATGGCCAACATTTTAGTACTTTATATTCTAAAATAGTTTCAGAATATGTCAAAAATGGTATTCAAAGAAAGAATTTGACATCAAAAACGCTTTTCTAGTGTTTTGATATGTGTGAATAGCTCCGTTTTCATGTTATAGTCTGTTTCTTATTTGCATTCAAAATACGGGTAGGTACAGAATTAAACTCGCCTTGGTGTGTCTTTTCTGTTTTTATCCAAAATTTGTCTTAAAGGCTTGTTAGACAGATGTAGGCCTAACTATTGGAGGTACTTGTTAGATCTTGACACATCACGTGAAACAGAAATCTTCGGATTTAACCCTCCCCCTTTTTTGTAAAAATTGCTCTACGGGTAATTTTCATAAGCGGAACGTTTTCACATCACTCAAAACATTACCCGGACTATTTTTATGGCTAATTTAGACCACCAGAAGCTGTATTTTATGAAAAGAAACTAAAATGTGCACATGTATCCGATTTTTTAAGACTATAGTCCGTTTCAATTAAGTGTATTTATTTTATATTGAACTCGTCCGAATCTTTAATTTGGTTTTCGGCACAGCGTCATTCAAATTAAATTCTTTGTTGATCAATATCAGAAGCACATGATAACTTCGAAAAGGCAATACTAATAAAGAAACAAAATATTACACCCGTAACAAACAGTACCGTAATGTCTATAAAAAACAGTGTAAAGTTTTAACAGTTTTTCAACAGGGGTAGGGTCCAGAAATTAATTCCTGTGTTTTCTACAGTTTTCAATGAGGTCTTTTGCATAGTGGTATGAAGTCAATTAATGTTAACGTAACTAATGCGGCAAAAAATATCAGATTTCAGAAATGGTTTATTACCGTATAGGTTACAATATACTAAATAAAGTTACATGGGCGCAGCCATTCGTGAAGGGAACATGCCATAGAGATGAAAATAGCTGGCCATCTGTGATTGGTTGTTATATCATTTATATATTTTTCTCCTGGAAAGCATTATGAATAAAGTTTCATGCAAGCACAAATTTGTCCTCAAATGTATACGATCAAGGGCCTGAAATGTTTTTTTATTTTGATCAAAATTGGGGAAAATTTTCTGCGAAATCGTAAGGTATGGTAAAAAACCCAAAAATTCACCAAGAAAAGCCATGGGACCATATATATTTAAGTGCGGTAAAATCACAAATAGATATTGAGCTCAAATTAGACAACAGCAGTTTTTCCCTAAACAGTTTATTAAAAACGCCATTTAAGGAGATAATTGCTAAAAATAGCATTGCCGGCAATGGGGCCAATATTTAGTACTTTATATTCGTAAAGTGTGATCGATTGCTGTAAGCACGGGGAATAAAAACCTGCTAAAATTACTCTAACCATGGGATATCACAAGTTGATATTAAAATAAAAATAAAAATCATGTTACCAACTGTTAACAAGGCGAGTGTTTTTCAGCAATGTTATAACCGAAATCACCTCCCTAGGAAGCCAAAAAATATTATTTCCCTTTTTTTTAAATAGCTGCATATGTCACGCATACATAAATATTGCCAGCATCCCTTTAGTAATCCGGTATCCTATAGTATTGATCAGTCTGGCATCCAAATAGTACATATAATAGAGAATAAGGAGTAATGTACAAAAAAAAGAAATTAAAACAAAAAAGGCAGGGAAGAGCTCGGATGCTCCGTAAGGCTAAGAAGTCCCTTTTTCACTAAATGATCACTAATGAAATCCGATATGTTCCTCTTAATAACTTAAGACTGGTTTTTGGGGGTTTTTTTTCTTCAGCAAATCATAGTCGTTGTCATAATTTTATGTAGGGATGTGGGTCATTTGTGAGCCATGCTCAACCTTTTGTTTTATTATATTCGATCGACATTTTAGACAAAGATGATTTTTTAGTTAATAGTAAAATTATCTGATATGGAATGAAATAATTGATCATTTTAAATGGTATGTTCTAAATCTTAAAAAGGTAGTATTAAGTTATTTAATTTTCCCTTTGATAATACATTTTTTTCTGTTGAGGAAATCTTAATTTCACATTGTGTCAAGATAGATATATAATTTACGGAATGCACCAGCAATGAGTCAAACATGTCAAAGAGAATGAAAAGGACAGGGAAATGAATTTGCCTTTACAAATAACAAATGGCAGAGAACCAACATCAACAAAAGATATAAATTTATTTAATCGGCGTATTTTTAAACTTTATGTACGTGCAACCCATTGCATGACTTTTGCCTCATTCTAACAATGAGTAAAATGTCAAGTTACTATAGTTTTGTAGATTTTACTTGTTTGCAAGTGTGTTTATAATGAATGCTTTTTTGTTTGAAAATATTTGAAAGTAAAGAAGTTGTCTGCTCTTTTCTTTTGAAATATTATTGAAAATAGTTCTTGGAGCAGATCATAATACAAATTTGAAAATTTTCACACAAATCTTTTTTTTTTCTTTTCAAATTGAATATATTGTGTATCGTTAAAATCAACACAAATTTATTTTTTCGACTAATACGCTTCTGACGGATAATATCTAAATAACTTCAGATGTTTGAATAGGTTCGTCACATTTGCTCAAACTTTTGGTTTCTGTGTAATGTTTTGCGGGAGGTTGATTGTCTAATGGTTTTGTCTGTCTTTCTTATTAGGGTTTTAAACTTGTCCCTTTACAGGATATGAGTTAATTGATTCGTGTTTAAAGCCATTTCAGCATGTTTTATGCTATTTCCAATTCGTGGCAGTCAGTTTTTCATGATTGGCGGAGGAAGACAGAGTGTCCAGATAAAACCACCGACCTTCGCTAGGAAAACTTACAATCCTAGTCAATTAAGATCCTTTTCAGGAGCAAAAATAGAACTTGCGGAAAAACCGTTATGTTACAACTCTGGTGTAAGCTTCTTTTCTGTAAATATTTTTTTTTCATATTTTGTTTCAGATATTTCTTTTCCAGTGTGTAATGGCATACCAGGATAGGTGCTCTCAGTTTATAGAACGATATCTACGCATTAATTATACGCTTACACGTGGTGAATGTTCAGAGGAAAATCCATTTCATTGTTTACTGAAGGACAATACAGAGACTTTAAAACAAAGTTATTACAAGAACTGCAAGTCATGGGACTGGGTTTCGAAAGGTAATGACATCGTGTTAATGTTACGTTTTATTAAGCAAACAACAGATTTTACAGATAAAGTTGGTCATTCTATCATCAATATATGATTTGGAAATTTTGATAGTTTCGTATAAGTATAGAACAAATAGTTTTAATATTGTACATAAAAAGAGTGTTTGTTGTAAGTCCGATCGATTTATAACTAGTTTTTAAAGACTACACGAAATTATAATTGTTTCGTCAAAGTGTACATTTGTTTATTTACAAAATATTTATATTCATTGTATAGATAAAAAATAATGTCCTTTAAAATAATAATAATGATTATTGAGGTAAAGGCAATATACAAATGCATATAAGATTTGGAAACAAAGCTCAAAACCTTAAGATATAATCATTGTTGTGATGATGCCTAAACCAAAGGATGACAAATGAAAGCAAACAGCTTATTTCCAATTGGATCCCTATATGATGGATGATAACATAAATATTTCATCATTCAAGTATATAGCAATAAATAGTATCTATGCATCAGAGCTTAAAACGATCGTATAAAAAAAGCAATCTAATAAAATATGAAATCTGCATCTCAGATCCCTCATTGTATTCCTATTAGACTAGTGGAAGTACACTTAAATGAACATGCGTGAAAAAATTTAAACACATGATTCAGACGTAGTTGTGTCTATCTGTTACAATTATTCAGTGATCCAAATTTTTAAAATAACGCCGATAATTTTTTCTCTTAGAAAGATATAGTTTAAACCTTATAACTTTATTTTGAAAAACCTGAAGCTTGTGAACTTGTCTTTCAGTTTTTTGGATAAACCTTCATACTAACATGTAGCTGATGACTAAATGGTGGTCAAGTTCGATATTGACGATTTTCAGTTTTGTCGTTCAGGAGTTATGTTCCTTGCTAGATTGAAAATTGGCACTTAATATCGTTTCCGTGCAATAACTTATGAACCGTTCAGCCCATGCTTTTAAAATTTTATTATGCTGTTACAGATGACAAACTGGTGGTCATGTTCGATATTGGCGATTTTCATTTTTGCCGTTCAGGAGTTATAGTCCTTGATATATTGAAAAACAGGTATATAATGTGGCAGGTTAAAAAAGCCTGAAAGCCAAAATCAGGGTTTGCTGTTAATTTGACAGCTCATTCATTCTTTACTTATTTCCCAATTTTTGCATAAAATCTCGAAAATTATAATAGATGGGTAGAAACTGTAATAGTAAAAAATATATTCAACATGTTCAAAACAAGATCTACCAAAATGACTATATGACCGAACCCATTAGATGAAACTTTATAGGAGTGTTTGCCCATGACATATTTGGGAAAAAAATCGAGATTTTGACTGTTATCTCGTATAACTTCAATAGAAAGTTAAAAACTGTTGACAGAATTTTTTTTTATCATTAATACAAGATCTACCGAAATGCGAACACGACCGAAACCATTTGATGACTCCTGGTAAGAGTTTTTGCCCTTAAATGACGATTTTTCTACTTTTCCTTTGTATGGCTATTATCTCGAAAACTACAAAATACAGGTAAAAACTGTAAGGGCCAAAATTGATCACCAATACAAAATCTTCAAAAATGACCCCGAAACCTTAGATGAAACATGATAAGAGTTACTGATCTGAAATGACAATTTTTATACGACCGCAAAAAAATATTTGTGGTCGTATATTGGTATGACGTTGGCGTCGTCGTCGTCCGGCGTCGTCGTCGTCGTCGTCGTCGTCGTCGTCGTCGTCGTCCGGCGTCGTCCGGCGTCGTCCGAAGACACATTGGTTTTCGCACTCTAACTTTAGTTTAAGTGATTGGATCTTTATGAAATTTTACCACAAGGTTCAATACCACAAAAGGAAGGTTGGGATTGATTTTGGGGGTTATGGTAATAACAGTAAAGGAATTAGGGGCCAAAAAGTGGCCAAAAATAAGCATTTTTGTAACTTCCAGACATAACTTGTGTGTTAGTGTATGGATCTCTCTGACATTGTACCACAAGGTTCCATATCACTAAAGGAATGCTGGGATTGATTTTGGGGGTAATTGCCTCCAAATTTTAGGAATTAGGGGCCAAAAAAGGGGCAAAAAACAAGCATTTTTCTAGTTTCATGACAATAACTTGTGTGTAAGTGTATGGATCTTTCTGAAATTGTACTACAAGGTTCCATATCACAAAGGGAAAGCTGGGTTTGAGTTTGGGGGTAATTGCCCTAAACGTTTAGGAATTTGGGGCCAAAAAGGGGCCAAAAAACACATTTTTTTCTAGTTTCCAGACAATAACTTGTGTTCAAGTGTATGGATCTCTCTGAAATTGTACTGCAAGGTACCATACCACAAAGGGAAGGCTGGGATTGAGTTTGGGGGTGATGAATCATAATGGGGGTTCAAAAAATTTTGGGGGGGGGGATTTATTTTTTTTTCATTTTTTTTCTTTTTTTCCTTTTTTGTTTCTTTTAAAATTTTCCATTTTAAGTTGGTTATTTCTGATTTATATTTAAAATCAAATAATAATGATATGGTAGGAGATACACACCAAACAGGATGTGTGAATTATTATATAATAAGTATTGTGCAATAGCAAGAAATTTTCAATTGCACAGTATTGCACAATAGCAAGAAATCTTCAATTGCACAGTATTGCGCAATAGCAAGAAATCTTCAATTGCACAGTATTGCGCAATAGCAAGAAATATCCAATAGCACAATATTGCGCAATAGCAAGAAATTGTCAATTGTACAGTATTGCGCAATAGCAAGAAATATTTAATAGCACAGGATTGTGCAAAAGAAGATACTTCCTATAAATTGCTTATTTCTTGACCAATTTCAATGGGGTTTTATTCTTGATTTCATGGGGTTCTTTAATATGCTGAATCTAACCGTGTATTTAGTTTTTGGATTTTGGGCCCCGTTTTTAAATTGGTCCACATTGAGGTCCAAAGGGTCCAAAATTAAACTTTGTTTGATTTCATCAAAAATTGAATTATTGGGGTTCTTTGATATGCCGAATCTAACTGTGTATTTAGATTCTTAAATTTTGGTTCCGTTTTCAAATTGGTCTACATTAAGGTCCAAAGGGTCCAAAATTAAACTTAGTTTGATTTTAACAAAAATTGAATTCTTAGGGTTCTTTGATATGCTGAATCTAAACATGTATTTAGATTTTTGATTATGGGCCCAGTTTTCAAGTTGGTCCAAATCGGGGTCCAAAATTAAACTTTGCTTGATTTCAACAAAAATTGTGTATATGGGGTTCTTTGATATGCTGAATCTAACCATGTATTTAGATTTTTGATTTTTGGGCCCCGTTATCAACTTTGTCCACATTGAGGTCAAAAGGGTCCAAAATTAAACTTTGTTTGATTTCATCAAAAATTGAATTATTGGGGTTCTTTGATATGCCGAATCTAACCGTGTATTTAGATTCTTAATTTTTGGTTCCGTTTTCAAATTGGTCTACATTAAGGTCCAAAGGGTCCAAAATTAAACTTAGTTTGATTTTAACAAAAATTGAATTCTTAGGGTTCTTTGATATGCTGAATCTAAACATGTATTTAGATTTTTTATTATGGGCCCAGTTTTCAAGTTGGTCCAAATCGGGGTCCAAAATTAAACTTTGTTTGATTTCAACAAAAATTGAATATATGGGGTTCTTTGATATGCTGAATCTAACCATGTATTTAGATTTTGGATATTGGACCATAATAGGTGAATGTCCAATTTAAAATTTTTAAGTTCTTAGACCACATTCAATCTGTGTTAGAAACCTATGCTGTGTCAAATAGTTAATCACAATCCAAATCCAAAGCTGTATCAAGATTGAATGTTGTGTCCATACTTCCCCCAACTGTTCAGGGTTTGACCTCTGCGGTCGTATCAAGCTGCGCCCTGCCATTTTATTGACTTATTTTATTACATTTGACTTTTACCTCGAAAACTATAATAGATAAATAGAAACTATAAAGAACACAATTGATCTTCAATGCAAAATATACAAAAATGCAAAGATTACTGAAACCATTGGACGATTTCATACAGGTGTTGTTGTGATTAAATGACGATACATTTGATTAATTTTCCTTTTTTGTCTTTTGTCCCGAAAACTATAATACACAAAACAACAAAAACGATCAGCAATTAAAAAAAATTGTTTTGTCAGTTGAACGACTCATGCTTTTACAAGCCTCTTGTTTTGTAATTGTGTATTGATCATGGCAGTTGTCAATCGGTACTCTAATAATATGACAAACTAGCCAGCAGATTGACAAAACTGATGACATACATGCTGGAATAATCTACTCTTTAGATATAAACTAAGTTGTTCACAGTTCATATGTTTATATGTATACAGACTTGACAAGTATTTGGAACTATATTTCAGTGTGCATAGATTTAGTAGCTATCATGGCTTCATCCTGATTGATGAAACAGGTGCATTAAGAAACAATAATTCCAACCTTTCCAAACAAATCACATAAATGGTTTACTTTTCAAATTACCATTGAGTTCAAACATTGCTTTACAGCCAGTCTTTCCACAAATGTTAAAATAAATTTTGATTGTCCTTTAATGAAGGTTTCCATCCAGTTCTTCGTGGGAAGTACATAGATTATGAGAAGTGTCAAGCTGACAGATACCAACCTTTTAATTTCTTATCCCATGAGAACCACCAATGCTACTTTGTCAAATCATACTGCGCAGATGAGGGTCAAATAGAACACAGGATAGGTGATGAAACGTCAGATCGTACATGCAAGTGCGATTATACTAGAAGATATGCTTTCCATACAATTCCAAGAAACAAAGTGTTCTGCATACCATCAGAAGAGGAGTGTACGTGCTTTAAAAAAACTTGTCCAACGAGTCAAATGATGAATGAAGGTTTGTGCATTTTCCTACCTAGTTTGTAAATGATAAAACCGTTTCATTACACTCTGAAATCTATATTCTACGTTTTTCTGTTTGTTTTCAATTTGTATGTCCGAAGTAATCATAAAGTGTGGTCGGATGCTTGAATTTGCACTAAAATATCAGTCATCTGTCGTAAAAATGAGAGAGACACTATGCATTACAATTTTCTGCTTATTTCGAATTGTTATTTACATGTTAATAACGAAAAAAGACTAAAACTACACAACGGATTCCTTTATTTAGATTGATTAAAATTTGGACGTCACATGGACAAATGTAACAGGTGAGTGGAAGATGGACATGTTTTGTCTTTATCAAAGTTCCTGTTGAATCCAATTTTTACGCTTCTATAGCAAGAAAGTTTAACTGTGAAGTTACAGTACTTGAAAAACAAGCATAATTTTTAGAATGTGCATATAGGTAGAAATAATATCAGCGTGTCGCAAAGATATTACAAATGAAAACAATAATTGTGAATAACGAAATATAGCTTTTTATCACTGTAGCTTTCCCCGATACCCTTTAATACTTGAACCTTTGCAAGTTGAAATATGTTCCAATATTTACATTATGATTCTCATACTAGGAACATAGCTGTAAATAGCAGCCTACGGGACGTATATTGAAAAACCTTTTTGATAACTGCTGAACAAGTTATAACGAAGTGTATTTTTGTGTACATCGAATAACAAGATTTATTAACAGTGAACATACTACATTCATTTGAACTAAAGCATTTTGCATTTTTGCATTGCAGAATCAGGATACATGCATCTAATGACATATGTTTTGGTGAGATGCTTTTAATAAAACACATAAACATCTTGCGGAATAAATGATATTTTCTAAAAATAACTCTCTTGGTCTTACAAGTAGTTTTTGCTAATGATACTAACAATAACTCGTTACTTTATACTTAGAAGTTATAATAGTTTTATATCTCTTCTGTAAAATAAAGACATAAAATCCGTCATCTTCATCTTTCGTAACAACTGATTGTGAACATGTAGAGTGACTCTGTGTGGATTGCTTTAAAAATACTTCTATAGAACCAACTTTACTGAAAATTATAATAACCAGTTATTGGGTATTATAGCATTCAAATAGGTAAACAAAATAGGGGTTACCTTTCTATTTAATATAGAAATCATCTTTTTGTTTTTAAAGGTTTTTTTGTAAGTTCGGTTTAATTCGCACTCAATTGTTGCAAATTTAAAAAAAAATTGTCGTTCTTATTTTGGATATTTTGGCGACATTGCAGATGTTTTAATTTTTGTAATGATTACTGCATTAGCTTACTCATTGTTGGTTAAATCTTTGTTCACGCATTTTGGGGATATTCTATATTCCCTTCTTTCTAGACTATCTTTTATTGAGTTTTAGTATTTTATTATTATTTTCCTTTTTGATTTTAATAAAAAATAACAAAACGTTAATAATGTCGCTAATACGGCACTCTCAATTAAGTTAATAGAACTTACTAATAAACAAGTGATTCGATGTGATCATTTTTATTAAAAGCTGCATATGATTGTATTTTATTATATTAAGAAAATTTCTAATCTTACATTTAGGATTCTATAGAAGTCACTTCCTATGTAGCTTTAAAGTGTTTATATTAATTCGGTTTCTTGTGCTACTTTTTTGTAACTTGATAAAAAATATTTTGAAAATACTGATTTCTGGCGTCAGGCCGTATAAATAAGGTTATTAATGTGAGCTATATAGCCAAGAAGAGCTCAAGCGAAAAGTCAAAGTTTACCTCTAAGATCTTGTTTATTCTAATATTTTTATACGACTGCAAAAAATTTTGCGGTCGTATATTGGTATGACGTTGGCGTCGTCGTCGTCGTCGTCGTCGTCCGAAGACACATTGAATTTCGCACAATAACTTTAGTTTAAGTGAATGGATCTCTATGAAATTTTACCATAATACCATAAGGTTCAATACCACAAAAGGAAGGTTGGGATTGATTTTGGGGGTTATAATACCAACGGTTAAGGAATTAGGGGCCAAAAAGGGGCCAAAAATAAGCCTTTTTCTAGTTTCCAGACAATAACTTGTGGAACGGTGTATTGATCTCTCTGAAATTATACCACAAGTTTCCATACCACAAAGGGATGGTTAGGATTTGCTTTGTGTGGTTATTGCTCAAACCGTTTAGGAATTAGGGGGAAAAACAAGGATGTCCTGGTTAATGGACAAATACTTTAGTACAAAACATAATTGAAAGCAGTGTAAGGGAGGTAATTCAAATACATCATTTAAATTACCTCCCTTACACTGCTTTTAAATTGTGTATAAAGTAATGGTTAATGAACAAGTAAGACAATTTAAAAGCAGTGTAAGGGAGGTAATCCAAATACAACGTTTTGATTACCTCCCTCACACTGCTTTTAAATTATGTTTAAAGAAATTCATATTTATAAAGGAAGACCAGTAAAAATATCTGCAAATGTTGCATCTTTTTTCTTTTACAAAAAAATCCATATGAAAGATTTGACATCATATTTTAAATTCTATTATAAAATAGATTAAGTTAACACTATGGTAAATTTAAATGGGTAATTATGGTTGCAAACTCCATTGGAAATTTGAATTGAGATTATGACCATATCTTGAGGGATAGGGAAAAGAAATTGTGGGGGGTCAATTTTTTCTCATTTCAGATTTCAGAAATTTAAAAGAAAAATTCTTCAAACAAAAAAAGTGTGTGTGTGTGTGGGGGGGGGGGGGGGGGGGGGGGGGGGGGTTAATACGCAACAGCATAGTGTATTGCACAAAAGCAGAAAAAAAGGGGGGGTAAATTTTTTATTTTTTTTTTGTTGGGGAAGGAGGGGGGTCAATTCGCAACAGCAAAGTGTATTGCACAAAAGCAAAAAATTGAATATAAATTCAAATCATATAACCAATTCTAAGTTCTTTGACTACAGTTATTCTGTGTCGGAAACCTTTTATGTGTCAAATGTTTAATTACAATCCAAATTCAGATCTGTATCAAGCGCGAATATTGCGTCCATTTTTGCCCCAACTGTTCAGGGTTGGACCTCTGCGGTTGTATCCAGCTGCGCTCGGCGAAGCAATTTATTACAAATGTGTTAACCTCATAAAAAAAAGAGAAAACATACTGATGGTTTATGATTTAGAACGTTACCTCAAGTGTTTTTAAAAAAATATACCTGTGTTAATATTTGACAATAGTAACATGACATAACATTTTCAAAGTTAGTTAAAATAAATCATTTGAAAATAGACATACAATTAACAGCAATAGGTTATTTTGAATGGTGCAAATCTTGTATTCAAATGGGAAAGAAAAGAGAGAAAAAGGAAATAGTGTATGGTGTAATGATGTTATTGTGTGTGGTACACCTTTATCACTTGCCTCAAATGTTTTATTTGAAAAAAAGTGTGTTGTTACGATACTAATTATCATAAAATTGTGAATCTTGTATTTCTTACAGATTATGAATGTGTTGATTCTTTAGTGCATTCAAATCAGACAGAGTATTCGAGAAAGTAAGTGATCTTAGTACGGCTTTGAAAATAACGATCACTGTCAGCAGCTGAATTTCTTCAATTGATAGATACTATGAAATAGTCACATACGTAAATGATCTTTCTGTGTCTTAAATAATTGTTAGATCAATTCATTGTGGGCTACATAAAATAAGCAATGACATTAGGTATCATCTTCACTTTTATTCGTGTTTGATATCTTATACTACATCTGCTTTCATACACAATCTGATAATTTTACAAAGAACTCTTTTGACGCCCTGTAAAAAGTTATTGTGTTGCATGCTTTGGAATATGATATAAAGGGATGCTAATGCAACAACTGTGAACACTATTTGTACGTGTTGTATAACGCTTCATATGTCAAATGGTAGAGTACCTGGACACTTCATATCTTGGATCTGTTTGTTTGTATGGGATTTATAAATACACAGCCGCGTCTTGTCGGAATGGGGACGTTAAATTCTATTCATGGTGTAGGAAAAATACCACACCTTTTGCATGTGAAAGAAGCATTGAACCAATTATCTGAGAGTCCGTAGGTAGTCTTGAAAGATTATTTTCCCACTATCCAACTATGTCCATCTGTGTGGATTTATCTGGCCTTGACTTAAATTGTCATGGCTGATTGGTCAACGTACGGGTTTCGTGATGAAATCCGTTAAAAAAGATACTAATGATAAGCAAAAGTCAACTATATTTGGTGTATGAAATGACTGAAGGGTGTCCACGACTTAAAAGGTGCATCCAACATCTTATTTTTTAAGTTCAGTGGTCAACATTAAGTTGTGATGTTCAGGTCGGCTCGATGTGACTTATTGTAAGCCCAATGGCATATTTATGTTGTGCGCAAGTGCTGTTGTCCTTCACATAAGATATTGCTTATCAACAAAATTGGGCATAAAATGATGGCTATGGTTAAGAGTTTTGATACCTACTTTCTGTAACACTTTTGGCGAAAGAATCGCCAATATCATTAACTAGTAGTAATAGTTTGTACTTGTTGAATTGGAGGTATGATGTTGAATAATTTTTGAGTATGTACACCAGATTGCAAAAATAATACAAATTATTTGTATTTTGTAGCAACACGTATTTATTGTGTGTCACTGCAGTGACATACATATACCAAATAATGTTCAAAATATCTATACCAGTATAGAAAATAATAATCTCTCGATATTATATGTTATGTTTCCAGCGTGACAGCAGTAATTCTAATAGACGATTTTGATGTAATCTCTGTATCAGAAATATCCATGTGGAAAACAGAAAATTTCAGTAAGATTTTAAAACTGCTTCACTAAATCAATGATATAAGTGCTAACACTTACTTCTTTTTAGGTTTGCACGCACTCACACCACCCACCACACTTAAATGAGGGTCTGGATGGGGTATACAGAATAGAGAATAATTGGCCAAACCTACAGAAAAGGGAACCCAAAACAAACCCAAAAGGAAAAAAGGGAAAAATGAATAAAGGAATGATGGACCCCCATCCAGACCCTCTTAAATAACGAAAATAACAAAAAACATATCTCGTCTTATCCCCCCCCCCCCAAAAAAAAAATCCCCTTTAAAAGACTCACACACACAAGATATTTCTACACTTAAGGCATTGAAAAGTTTGAATGACAACAAATAGTTTATAGTAAGATATCCTATGCATTGCAAATGTGTTTTTCAAGTTAAATATGTATTCTCTGTGCTTTATTTTTATTTGTCCCTGTATATTTTTTCTATATACTTTTGGCGTGGCTAGGCATTTATACATTCCGCCATTGTGTTATTGTGCTATGATCATTTTTGTATTCTTGTCTTTCATTTTTGCTTATGTACTTTGTCTATAGAGTGTCTATATGCCATTATGTTTTTATACGACCGCAAAAATTAAAATTTTTTTGGTCGTATATTGGTATGACGTTGGCGTCGTCGTCGTCGTCGTCGTCGTCGTCGTCGTCGTCGTCGTCTGGCGTCGTCCGGCGTCGTCCGAAGACACATTGGTTTTCGCACTCTAACTTTAGTTTAAGTGAATGGATCTCCATGAAATTTTACCATAAGGTTCAATACCACGAAAGGAAGGTTGGGATTGATTTTGGGGGTTATGGTACCAACAGTTGAGGAATTAGGGGCCAAAAAGGGGCCAAAAATAAGCATTTTTGTAACTTCCAGACAATAACTTGTGTGTAAGTGTATGGATCTCTCTGACATTGTACCACAAGGTTCCATATCACAAAGGGAAGGCTGTAATTGATTTTGGGGGTAATTGCCTCAAATTTTTAGGAATTAGGGGCCAAAAAAGGGGCAAAAAACAAGCATTTTTCTAGTTTTATGACAATAACTTGTGTGTAAGTGTTTGGATATTTCTGAAATTGTACTACAAGGTTCCATATCACAAAGGGAAAGCTTGAATTGAGTTTGGGGGTAATTGCCCGAAACGTTTAGGAATTGGGGGCCAAAAAGGGGCCAAAAATAAGCATGTTTCTAGTTTCCAGACAATAACTTGTGTTCAAGTGTATGGATCTCTCTGAAATTGTACTGCAAGGTACCATACCACAAAGGGAAGGCTGGGATTGAGTTTGGGGGTGATGAATAATAAGGGGGTTCAAAAAAATTTTGAGGGGGGTATTTTTTTTTTATTTTTTTTTTTTTTTTTTCCCTTTTTTTTATCTTTTAAAATTTTCCATTTTAAGTTGGTTATTTCTGATTTATATTTAAAAGCAAATAATAATGATATGGTAGGAGATACACACCAAACAGGATGTGTAAATTATTATATAATAAGTATTGTGCAATAGCAAGAAATTTTCAATTGCACAGTATTGCACAATAGCAAGAAATCTTCAATTGCACAGTATTGCGCAATAGCAAGAAATCTTCAATTGCACAGTATTGCGCAATAGCAAGAAATATCCAATAGCACAATATTGCACAATAGCAAGAAATTGTCAATTGTACAGTATTGCGCAATAGCAATAAATATTCAATTGCACAGTATTGTGCAAAAGAAGATACTTCCTATAAATTGCTTATTTCTTGATCAATTTCAATGGGGTTTTATTCTTGAATTCTTGGGGTTCTTTAATATGCTGAATCTAACCGTGTATTAAGTTTTTGGATTTTGGGCCCCGTTTTTAAATTGGTCCACATTGAGGTCCAAAGGGTCCAAAATTTAACTTTGTTTGATTTCATCAAAAATTGAATTATTGGGGTTCTTTGATATGCCGAATCTAACCGTGTATTTAGATTCTTAATTTTTGGTTCCGTTTTCAAATTGGTCTACATTAAGGTCCAAAGGGTCCAAAATTAAACTTAGTTTGATTTTAACAAAAATTTAAATTTTAGGGTTCTTTGATATGCTGAATCTAAACATGTATTTAGATTTTTGATTATGGGCCCAGTTTTCAAGTTGGTCCAATTCGGGGTCCAAAATTAAACTTTGTTTGATTTCAACAAAAATTGAATATATGGGGTTCTTTGATATGCTGAATCTAACCATGTACTTAGATTTTTGATTTTTGGGCCCCGTTATCAACTTTGTCCACATTGAGGTCAAAAGGGTCCAAAATTAAACTTTGTTTGATTTCATCAAAAATTGAATTCTTGGGGTTCTTTGATATGCTGAATCTAACCATGTATTTAGATTTTGGATATTGGACCATAAAAGGTGAATGTCCAATTTAAAATTTTTAAGTTCTTAGACCACATTCATTCTGTGTCAGAAACCTATGCTGTGTCAAATATTTAATCACAATCCAAATTCAGAGCTGTATCAAGCTTGAATGTTGTGTCCATACTTGCCCCAACTGTTCAGGGTTCGACCTCTGCGGTCGTATCAAGCTGCGCCCTGCGGAGCATTTTATTCTTTATTGGAATAGTTATTTGTTTTTATAGTGATTAAGATTATTACACAATGTTGATTGCTGTACCCCAAGTTTTGACATATTATTGACCTATTATGTCTATTTGTTCTGCTCACACTTTGTTGTCAATATAATGGAATTCTATATGACTGTCATACAAGTGAGAGGTTTAGCTAGCTATAAAACCAGATTTAATCCACCATTTTTGACATAAGGAAATGCCTGTAACAAGTCAGGAATACGATAGTTGTTTTCCATTCGTTTTATGTGTTTGAGCTTTTGACCCTCTACCAAGAAATATATATATTTTGTTTTAGATATATCTATATAAGTCTAAATTGAATCTAAGATGAACGGATCATGTAAACCCGAAGGAAAATATAATACAAGCCCAAACGAAAAAATATAAGCAAGTCTAAATTGAAAACAACGTTCAAACCTATGATTGCGTTGGATAAAAACCGCAATTTTTATACGTGTGCATGCAAAGCAAATTTATTGGTAGAGGGGTCTAAATACAGCACAAACAACATTTTCCAAAAGACCAAAAAGTGAAAAAGTATATTTTAACAAAACGCATCTGACTAACAGGTCGAACAACTGATGTTCTTAAACCCTGCTGACTGTCATGGCGATTGCCAAATTAACGTATCACAAGATGTAACAAAATGGATCTTAATATAAATTTAATACCAAACAGAAAACAATAAACTTGCGGAAAAGATGGTATACCGCAAACATGAGGTGCAAAAATTTGAACACCATATCTGGATTTCGACAATTAATGTCTCTTCAGTGATGTTAGGAATCGAAACGGTATTTGGAAGGCCATATAATTTACCTCAATTTAGGATAGACTCTTGAATTTTGAAGAGTCGAAATAGGATGAACGGATCATATAAACCCGAAGGAAAATATAATACAAGCCCAAACGAAAAAAAATTAACAAGTCTAAATTGAAAACAACGTTCAAACCTATGATTGCGTTGGATAAAAACCGCAATTTTTGTACGTGTGTATGCAAAACAAATTTCTTGGTAGAGGGGTCTAAATACAGCACAAACAACATTTTCCAAAAGACAAAAAAAGTTAAAAAGTATATTTTAACAAAACGCATTTGACAAGCAGGTCGAACAACGGATGCTCTTAAACCCTGCTGACTGCCATGGCGATTGCCAAATAAACGGATCACCAGATGTAACAAAATGGATCTTAATTATTAATTTTATACCGAACAGAAAACAATAAACTTGCGGAAAAGATGGTATATGCAAACATGAGGAGCAAAAATTTGTACACCATATCCGGATTTCGACAATTAATGTCTCTTCAGTGATGTTAGGAATCAAAACGGTATTTGGAAGGCCATATAATTTACCTCAATTTAGGATAGACTCTTGAATTTTGAAGAGTCGAAATAGGATGAACGGATTATATAAACCCAAAGGCAAATATAATACAAGCCCAAACGAAAAAATATAAACAATATATATATAAAACGTCTAGATATTAGTCAACGATCTTTCTTACGAGGGCGCTGGATCGATACGAGTAACGATTACATGTACACAATAAATAAATTATATAAACGCCTAAAAAGTGTACAAAACAACACCAATATTAAAAAAAAGGAAACAATAAATGTAAGCATCTATAGATATTTCGGATAACAGATATCCTTCATCAGTATGATTATGATGTAAAATGAATCATGTCAATCTATTCTCTCTCTCTCTGTATATATATATATATATACATGCCCTTATGCCTCTCATGTATTATATCAAATTTAATGTGTAATGCATATTGTAGTGATATTTGTGTTTTTCTTTTTTTTTTCGATCTAAATATAATAGATATAAGAAGATGTGGTATGAGTGCCAATGAGACAACTCTCCATCCAAGTCAAAATTTATAAAAGTAAACCATTATAGGTCAAAGTACGGTCTTCATGTAAGTTCAGTTTGATGACAGCTGACACAGAATGCATCGAAAATGTCTTAATCATGTAAATGCTCACGTACCAATAATAAACTTATGTGCCACTACACGTGTAACAAGCAACAATCAGATATTCAATCAAACGAATATAATTTCCTATTGACTTGAAGAAAATATTATGTCATGTTTACAGATTTGTTCCTTTATTTTCAGGAATTCGTTTCTATTTGCAAATCATGCTGTCTGGGATTATTTTAAGTAACATTATATTTACCATGTACAGTTTTATTTACGGTAAGCAAAATAACTGTAATCAGCGGTTACAACAAACTTTATTTCATAACTCTTTGGTAGACTTTTGCCATCCAATTTCAGTTATATAGGAAAAAATAAACTTTCCATTATATTCTCAAATAAGTACGTTTGTTGACGAAACGTAAAATTTGCGTATGAATTGTTAGCATGGTATCTTTGGTGTTTTAACAAATTTCCTTGACACGCACAAGAAAATTGCACACATTTTTGCTGTTAATGAACTGTTTGAGACTTAGTCGTGCACCAGTGATTTAATGTAGTTATTTGAGTTTTCTCCAATTTTACAATTCTTAGTAGAAAAACGATTTAGCACATATTTCTGACACATCATGAGAGTATGCTATTAAAGGGTTTATTTATTTATTTTTTTCTAATCTTCCATACTTGTAAACACTTTTATTTTCAACTGAATTTTCAAATGAGGGTACTGATTCCGTGTATTATTCTACCCAGATTATGAAAGTGCATAGACGGTATGGCTTTTACTGACGTTATTTAGCACCCTTTATGTAGTTCGATAAAAAAAATATTAGTCTTAAAATGTTTTACATTTTATATTTGCATATATTTGAACGTTCGTTTTACACTCACTAGTCTTAGTTTTAAATAAACATTCTGTGCTACGTGTACCTCGGGCATTAAAGGCTTTGGTCCATTTTCAGACAGATGACAAGCATCTGCTAGGCATCTCTCATTCCTCAAGAAATTTGAATAAATTGTTTCCATCACACGTCTCTTAATAAAGTACACTGTATTTGGAATATTCGCTGTAAAATGGGTCAGTCCATTGATCCCATGAATTCAGATAAGTAATGGGACAACTATAAGTAGTTAATAGAATAACTGTAAGGTTTCATTTCCATCAGACAGGGAATAAATAATCTTGACTTCGTTTGCATTATTCATTGATTAAGGTTGAGATTTCCTGATTAGGTCCGTTTTTGGAAAATGACGCTGTCAAAGCGTCAATTTTACTATACCATTGACCAGATTTCATTTTATCGCTTCCCGTCGCTTCCACGCCGCCTTCCGAACTCGGTTCCGTATTTTACATACCTATGTCCTGCACAGAATTTCATTCTTAACCTATCCATATGTTTATTGTTATTAAATGGTATTTTGAGCTATCCCTTTGGTATATTTTTCATATTTATATGAGCTTTCGCTTTTATGTGCATGACTTTACAATCCATAAAAAAATCAGAATATAAATAGATCCGTATTGTTATGGTTTTGGAAGTTTTACATACCAATGATAACAAATCGCTATCGCTAGAAAATAGTTCTTGAAAGAATGTTTACCTTTCTTGTCAGCTGAACTTTGAAACCATTCAAAATATAATAATCGGAATCATCTTGAAATCATACGAAAGATATTGGTCTTTATTAAGATTTAAGTTTTTAAGAATGATACGGTTATATCCACGCGGTGCGTATGGATTTGTTTACAAAGTTACTGCTGCAGACATAATATAGCAGTAAATATCGCAGGGGCCAGTTCTATTAAAGAATAAAATGGCGATAATTGCAGAAGTTTTTCTGTCAAAAAGACTTTATTTCTTTCTGGATTTCTTCACTTTAAAAAGAATCAATGAATCATACCAAAAGTATTTAAGGAAAGTTTTACCCTTTCTCTGACAACGTGGTCTCGTCCATTTTTGAAACATTACGATTATTTCATTACTTTTTCGAGTTAACAACTAAACTATTGAACCTGTATTGTTTTGAGAAAAGCATTCCCGTTGTCCAGGTGTTCATTACAAGCCCGTATTTTACGATTTACTTGCATCGCTATTTTCAAAATCGGATACGAAAATTTCTTGAAAATAAAAAAAAAAATATTGAGATTTGCCATCCACTTTTCAATAACTATTAATATTAATTTAAAATCAATGTTAACTGTGGATGACTTGGATAAGGACTGTCATTTAATGACTCCTAAAGATACAACAAAATGTGTAAACAGGAAGTTGTGAAGGGAGACAATTTCATTTGGCAAAATTTAAAGTGCTAAAACAAGTATTGTCAAATCTTGTAAAATATTTCTGGTGGCAATAATTCACATATTCATAAAATAACCAAACACAACTTTTAAAGGTGGTTGTAATGTTTCAATTGGCAAACGTTTATTTATTGATAATCCACCTTTAATAATAAAAAAAAAACTTCTTTAAAAAAAAGATTTCTATCATATTCATCTTGGAATATGATCAAATATGTTAGCATATTTTAAACATGCCTTTAATAACATTTCAGTACTTATGGAAAGATTTATTCCATTTCTTCCTTTGATATTAAAGGATATACCAATTTTAATTGCAAAATTGTAATTTGAAAAATGTAAATAAAAATTAATGCAGAAATTCCAATTTTGTCATTGTAAACCTTCTTAAATATGTGTAAGTAAATTATGAAGCTGTAAAGGATATATAACTAGTTTATAAGTCAAACAACCGAAAGTGATTTACCTACTGTGCTACATTTGGGGATGGGTGGTTATAAAATCAAATTATTTAAGTTATCTAGGCATTTTAATTTTTAAAGTTTAATTAATAATTGAAATGTCACTTATTTGCATTTCAGTTAATGCACATGGCACATGTATAAAAAATCCAGACCTTTGTCTATTCAATATAATAAAACTAACATGGTAGTTATAAATAAGTGTAACACCAAGTCACAGACATGAAACTTAAGGTAAATCAATCTTAAATCGGGCGCTAATACCACAGAGCTATAAAAAAATCCTGAGGAGAACACTGGAGTGTATTGCTTTCAGAGTTATATAAACACCTTGCCTAAGAAAAAGGTCTAGCTAGGTCATTTTTGAAAAAAATGAGGCTATAATGATGTAAAGTGACTTATAACTGCCAACAGCCATGACAGCCACATTATTTAGACTCTGATGGATAGTTATCAGACTGTTATCTCATTGGCAATCATGTAACCACATCTCCTTATTTTAGTATGGGTTAATTGTTTGAAGTAAATGACTCACAAACATTAAATCCTTTGAAAAAAGATAATTCTGCAATAATTTATGTTGTCATTTAAAGATTTCAGTTTATATATATATAAATATCAACAATGAAATTTAGTTGTATAAATGGTGTCACTATATTTGTAATTGTCAAACTAGTATAACAATACTATTGTCTAAATCTACAGAATTTGATCATCCTTTAAGTAACAGAAATAACAATGTCACTAAGTCACTTATAACTTATCTCTTAAATAAGGACTATGTGGGGTATCAGAGCTTGCTTACTGCAGGCTCTTCATCATCATTTTGTTAAATAATTCTACAAAGAAGGGGATAGTCTGTTAATGTATCCCTGACTAAGAATAATGAAACTGCAAGAAACAATTTCACATATAACTTTGAATATTGTAGATCGTTCAGGTAGTCTTGAGCTATTTCTTTATACAAAAGAAACAACCAATATATAAATATAGTCATGTTACACCACTGTCTCAGGTTAGGGGGGAGGATTGGGATCCCGCTAACATGTTTAACCCCGCCACATTCTGTATGTATGTGCCTGTCCCAAGTCAGGAGCCTGTAATTCAGTGGTTGTCGTTTGTTGATGTGTTACATATTTGTTTTTCGTTCATTTTTTTGTACGTTAATTAGGCCGTTAATTAGTTTTCTCGTTTGAATTGTTTTACATTTGTCATTTCGGGGCCTTTTATAGCTGACTATGCGGTATGGGCTTTGCTCATTGTTGAATGCCGTACGGTGACCTTTAGTTGTTGATCTCTGTGTCATTTGGTCTCTTGTGGAGAGTTGTCTCATTGGCAATCATACCACATCTTCTTTTTTTATTCACTTCACACACATATATATATATATCTTGACAAACAAATAAAAAAGCCATAGACATTGAAAACCATTCATTTCTATTCTATTGTCAGTCAGCCTACCTACCATGAACTGAAAAGTCTCTTAAGATTCAGTAGGTAAATTATGTGAAAATCAAGACTTGCATCAAAAATATCCCAATATTAGAGACAATGGCGTAATTTTTCCTCAGAGCTTTCAGCTCTTTGGTTCATATCATTTTAGTATAAATCAAAAATATATTGTGCGTATAAGATGAAAAGTTAAACATGTCTGTCTGACATGGTCATGATGGTTCAGCTGACCTCAACCTCATCTTCACAGTTTATTCGTTAAAACGTCCTTTTAACAAGAGTTTTTCGTTTTCATGATTTTTGTTTTTACGTCTGTTTTTTGAGATATTATAAGTAATAAGTCAAACTATATTATTAGAATGAGAATGAGATGTCACTCTTTAATGGTTCATTTTTTTAGAATTTAAGTGATATATGTAGTGGAACCTTGAACATAAGATTAAGTCATAATAAGTAATTTAGGCTAGACATCTTAGCTTGCTCATTTTGTATCAGCAATCTCTGGTTTCACTATCGTTTCTCCCAGTTAACACCATGTAAAAAATTGCAAAAAAATGGTATACATATGACGTCTGTTGTTTGATTTACTAACATTATGCATACATAAATTTAGTTTATTTATATTTATTAATCTTACTTACTTTTTTTTTGTATTTAAGTTGCTCATCGGGATTTGGAAAAAGGACACGACTTTAAAGTAGCAATACCAGGTAATATTATGCATTATAGTTTCTAGCTAGGAAGGGACAGGTAATAAATTAAACCCTTCAAATGTCATGCTTATTTTTCAGGACAGAAATAAATCCTTGGATAGCAGGCATCACACTATTGCTTCAAGTTTTATATGTTTCATATGGTTCTGTCGAAAACTCCTTTTATCAAGTACATTTAATAGTAACTAAAGTTAAAAGAAGTAAGTTTACTATTTTCGCAGAAATAAATTGCTCTTTTATGATAGCATGATCTCAATTTTGTATGTCCAATAATATTTTCATAATCAATGCTACGTACAGATGTTGTTTTAAGTTTTCCTAGTTTTTTAGGTAAGGATTGCATGAAATGCAATCAAAACCCTAATATGGTACTGACTTGATTTCTGAATCTTCCAAGGGTTATTACTACTTTTGAGATTCACAAAATATAGTGCATTGATCATAACATTCTAAACATCCTGTCTATGAACATTTCCAGAAATTTATCGATGAAATATATGCTCAGATGTTCAAATTATAAAATGATGTTATACTTCTGAAGAAAGTTACATAACTTGTGCAAGGTGCAGGAATCTAATATCTGCTCTAAAAATATCAACGCTGTCATTGTTAAAGTTATTTTTTTTAAATTGGAGTTATCTTCCATTGTCCATAATTGTAGTTGAATCAACTACAAACAATATTTTTACAATGCAATGTTTAATTTTACTTCCCACTGATAAATTAAGGCAATCTTTTCCCTTCAGTGCTAACAAGCACTTTGATTTATCGAATTGTGTGCACATTTTTTCTTGGATATGTTCTTTCTGTTAGACATATTTTAACTGATTGAATCACTAAAATCAATATAAAACAAACTCAGTTGACGAAAGGACAACCGCATATCATCTGTTTCTAAACTATTCCTCATAAAAACAAACTTTTAGCTACATAGTAAATGTGAAGTCAGCATGCTGGACATTTCAGCTTGAGACGGTCATAGACGGAACCCGCTTCTCATTTGGGGATGTCACATTCGAGGTAAAGAGGATGGTATTGTGGTAACAATAATATGAAGATATAAGTCTTCTTCTGTGAAAGTTTTTGAAGGGATGACTTAAACTTTACTACTTGGAAACCTTGATTTAAATTCTTCCTTGTCCCCAACACCTAACTATCAAGGACATCGTGATAGGAAGTGGAAGCTCTGGAATGTCGTATCAACTAGGAAATATACTCCATATGCAGATGCTGCTTGAATTTTGCTACATAGAAATGAAAAGTTCTCAATGGGGATCCTAAAATCATCTCTTTGGTCGTTAAGCTTTGTTATCAACCTTACCCGTATTGTCAATTTCTAGATGTACGTCAAGACGCAGACTTAACTGTATCTGTGGTATCTTTTACTTTGAGTTCGATGGAATTGATGCGTTCAACATAGCCATCAACCTTATTATTTTGTAATCTTTATAACGGAACTTGTAGTACCCGGTAATACATATGCAAGCTTCTTTTCGTTCTCCCTACAAAGTTTCTTTATGAAGTCTGTCTCATAAATATCAAAAATGCCATATGTTAAAAACATTGTTGTAAATGAACGCGATATGGATGTTTGCGTTGGTATTTTGACAGCTTTACTTTTTAATCGCCTCTTAATTACACAAAATATTCATCAGAAGAATAACAATTAGGCTGCAGAAACGTACAACATGTTTTATATCTTATTCAAAAAAGATGTTAATTTTTATGTCTGTGTTCTCTCTGTTTAATAATAGTTTTACGTTCAGTTGTAGTTGATGAAAACAGAGTGGAAAAATCTTCGGACAGTAAAGAAGTAAAACAAGGTTCTTATTTACAATATTTTTTTAAACATCTTGTATATATATATATATGTATGCGTGCATTGCATTTACATATTTGAGGTGCACAGAACCCCTGAAGAATAACAGGTTCGACTGATAATATTTCTAGGAATTTAAGTGAAAACTCATTTTCTACATTTCAAAATACATGTACCAAGTTAGGAATATGACAGTTGTTTTCCATTCGTTTGGTGTGTTTAAGCTTTTGATTTCGCCATATGATAAAGGACTTTACGTTTTGAATTTTTCTTGGTTTCGGTATTTTGCTTTTTGTTACACTGATATTCCATAGTGGTGAACCGAATCAAAACATAATGGCGTCCGTCATACTTCGGAAGAGATGACGTCAACCTTAACATTAGGAATATTTGGTTCAACGGCTTCATTGACAGCATTGACCTTCATCTACGAAAATCATGACAGAAAACCTAAGCTTTTGAATATGGTTTCAACTGGCATATGTGTACTGCACATAAATGCAATGGTGTAATGTTAATGCATGCACATCAATTTCTAGATGTTAGATCTTAGATATGTAGCAGGCTGAACTGGATTCATGGTATTTTTTATTTTTACGCTCCTTTCCCTTCTTAATATAGTATAATAATATTTGAATGCCATACTCTTATCACTAGTATTCCCCATTCTAAACTGAAAGATAGATTAAATTTATTTGTCAAACTTTGTTTCGAAAACCGAATGACCAAATGCAGATACTAATATCTTGTAATAGGAAAGAACAAATTATGCTACTCAGACTTTATAAAACGTCACCAGTGTATGATTTCAGTATGTAGAAAATAGTGGATTAAACCTGGTTTTATAGGTTGCACTTCTGTAAAAATAGACAATGCAATTTCCCATAGGAACTCCCTTTGCGGCTAAAGCTGTGCAATTTTTACTATGAAGTTTCGTTAAATAAAAAATTATATCCTACAACGGAAAGTTGATATGCACTACTTTTTTATTCAAAGGTCAAAACATAGTGCTGTGCGGCATATTTTCAACATTTATATGCCCCGACCTTCTAAGAGTTTAAACTTATACTAAAATTCTGTACTACCCCTATCTTTATTTTTGGTCTGCCTCAAAATTCATTTTTCACCGGTACTTTATGTTTTTATACTGGTAACATTCCCAAGTTATTTCTCTATGAGATGAAACACAGAGATCATATCTGGGAACCAGTACGTTAACAAATTAAAATATCTATATAGGATTACCCTATGTGCATGTTTGCTGAGATGAAATGACTAGAACCTATTTGAAACTATTCTGATAACAAATTGAAAGCATTTCAGAATACTATAAATGTAAAGTTTAGTAGTTAATCACTCAAACATTCAAGATTATATAAAGTATCAAATCATGCCTCTGTCTCCAGTCCACATCTTACGGTATGCCTAACCTTCACAATTTCTGCCTCAAATGTTCAGTTTAGAAATCTTGTTACAACAATATCATCTCTTACCATATTTCTAACATAATTTAGCTAATACATGAACTAGAAGTGTTTAAACAAAGCCATATTTGCAAAAGTTGTATTTATGAAGTTACCAGTCTGATGTATGCATTCACTAAAAGTTTTATAGAACTGACAGCTAACATCTCTTTTTTTGCATAACTTCCAAGCACAGTTATATTTGTATATACAAAAGACTTTTAAAAAAATAAAATCATAACATTTACAGTTTATATTATCTGTTTTATGACCCAAGGGGTAGGCATTTTCTCTGTTTTTTTTGCCACTGGGGCCTCAAATTTGCTAATTTATTCTGCTGTTTCTGTGAATATGGAATATTTAGTACTCATTTATGATAGAACACATTTTTATACGACCGCAAAAATTAAAAATTTTTTGGTCGTATATTGGTATGACGTTGGCGTCGTCGTCGTCGTCGTCGTCGTCGTCGTCTGGCGTCGTCCGGCGTCGTCCGAAGACACATTGGTTTTCGCACTCTAACTTTAGTTTAAGTTAATGGATCTCCATGAAATTTCACCATAAGGTTCAATACCACGAAAGGAAGGTTGGGATTGATTTTGGGGGTTATGGTACCAACAGTTAAGGAATTAGGGGCCAAAAAGGGGCCAAAAATAAGCATTTTTGTAACTTCCAGACAATAACTTGTGTGTAAGTGTATGGATCTCTCTGACATTGTACCACAAGGTTCCATATCACAAAGGGAAGGCTGTAATTGATTTTGGGGGTAATTGCCTCAAAATTTTAGGAATTAGGGGCCAAAAAAGGGGCAAAAAACAAGCATTTTTCTAGTTTCATGACAATAACTTGTGTGTAAGTGTTTGGATATTTCTGAAATTGTACTACAAGGTTTCATATCACAAAGGGAAAGCTGGAATTAAGTTCGGGGGTAATTGCCTGAAACGTTTAGGAATTGGGGGCCAAAAAGAGGCCAAAAATAAGCATTTTTCTAGTTTCAAGACAATAACTTGTGTTCAAGTGTATGGATCTCTCTGAAATTGTACTGCAAGGTACCATACCACAAAGGGAAGGCTGGGATTGAGTTTGGGGGTGATGAATCATAAGGGGGTTCAAAAAATTTGGGGGGGGGGATTTTTTTTTTTTTCTTTTTTTTTTTCTTTTTTTCCTTTTTTTTTTCTTTTAAAATTTTCCATTTTAAGTTGGTTATTTCTGATTTATGTTTAAAAGCAAATAATAATGATATGGTAGGAGATACACACCAAACAGGATGTGTAAATTTTTATATAATAAGTATTGTGCAATAGCAAGAAATTTTCAATTGCACAGTATTGCACAATAGCAAGAAATCTTCAATTGCACAGTATTGCGCAATAGCAAGAAATCTTCAATTGCACAGTATTGCGCAATAGCAAGAAATATCCAATAGCACAATATTACGCAATAGCAAGAAATTGTCAATTGTACAGTATTGCGCAATAGCAAGAAATATTCAATTGCACAGTATTGTGCAAAAGAAGATACTTCTTATAAATTGCTTATTTCTTGATCAATTTCAATGGGGTTTTATTCTTGAATTCTTGGGGATCTTTAATATGCTGAATATAACCGTGTATTAAGTTTTTGGATTTTGGGCCCCGTTTTTAAATTGGTCCACATTGAGGTCCAAAGGGTCCAAAATTTAACTTTGTTTGATTTCATCAAACATTGAATTATTGGGGTTCTTTGATATGCCGAATCTAACCGTGTATTTAGATTCTTAATTTTTGGTTCCGTTTTCAAATTGGTCTACATTAAGGTCCAAAGGGTCCAAAATTAAACTTAGTTTGATTTTAACAAAAATTGAATTTTTAGTGTTCTTTGATATGCTGAATCTAAACATGTATTTAGATTTTTGATTATGGGCCCAGTTTTCAAGTTGGTCCAAATCGGGGTCCAAAATTAAACTTTGTTTGATTTCAACAAAAATTGAATATATGGGGTTCTTTGATATGCTGAATCTAACCATGTATTTAGATTTTTGGGCCCCGTTATCAACTTTGTCCACATTGAGGTCAAAAGGGTCCAAAATTAAACTTTGTTTGATTTCATCAAAAATTGAATTCTTGGGGTTCTTTGATATGCTGAATCTAACCATGTATTTAGATTTTGGATATTGGACCATAATAGGTGAATGTCCAATTTAAAATTTTTAAGTTCTTAGACCACATTCATTCTGTGTCAGAAACCTATGCTGTGTCAAATATTTAATCACAATCCAAATTCAGAGCTGTATCAAGCTTGAATGTTGTGTCCATACTTGCCCCAACTGTTCAGGGTTCGACCTCTGCGGTCGTATCAAGCTGCGCCCTGCGGAGCATTTTATTAGTTTTATTGAGTTTTTTTTGTATTTCTAGCTTGTATTTTTTTTGCTGCGGTCACAAAAAAAACAAATTCAGGTGTTACGGCTTACTTTTGGGTTATCAACAGGACAAAAACACCCGAACAACAATATTCATCATGGATCTATGAGTTTCAATGACTGTGAAGAGTAAATATAAGCACTTCTAAACAATTTAAATTACAAATATGCATATATTATGAAATAATTTTGCATTCAGGGCTTTAAGTAAACTATGCATACTATAAACTGTGAATGTATGCTGAGTCATCATATTTAAGGCCCTAGATTTTCTCAATGTTCATGAAATATTTATTAAACTTCATATTTGAGTTAATTTTATTAAAATCTCTGAGATACACCAGATTTGGTGAAATCTATATGTTCTCTTTTTTCACCAAATATAGGTTGCACTTCTGTAAATATAGACAATGCAATTTCCCATAGGACCTCCCTTTTCGGCTAAAGCTGTGCAACTTTACTATGAAGTTTCGTAAAAAAATATATCCTAGAACGGAAAGTTGATATGAACTACTTTTTTATTCAAAGGTCAAACCATAGTGCTGTTCGGCATATTTTCAACATTGATATGCCCCGAACTTGAAAGACTTTAAACTTATACTAAAATTCCGTACTACCCCTACCTTTATTTTTGGTCTGCCTCAGAATTCATTTTTCACCGGTACCTTGTGTTTTTATACTGGTAACATTCCCAAGATATTTCTCTATGAGATGAAACATAGAGATCATATCTGGGAACCAGTACGTAAACAAATTAAAATATCTATGATAATTATATATCTCCCCAAAAGAGGCTTGGCTTGTGAAACAGCTGTATTTACAAAGTGCAAGCTATAGCTAGCTAAACCTCTAATTTGTTTGACAGTCTTATAAAATTCCATTATATTTACAACAATGTGTGACCAAAACAAATAGACATGATAGGTAAAAATGTCAAGAGTAGGGGTACAGCAGTCAACAATGTGTTATAATCTTAATCACTATAAAAACAAACAAATATGTCAACAACAAAAAAAACGAAATAGTATATAGACAAAGCACATAAACAAAAATGAAAGACAAGATTACACAAAATGACCACAGCACAACAACACATTGGCGGGATGTACCGAGCCACGCTTAAAAGATATTACTAAAAATGGACTAAACAGTAAAGGTTAATAATTTATAAAGACAAATAAAAGAGCACTATAACACGTAAAAAAGATGATAAACAACGTGAGTTCCTAGAATCTATACTTCAAGACCATCATGTATTATTTGTTATAAGTTGATACGGAATATTCATCAACAAGGTCTTGGTATCTTCCGATGAACTTTTTTTAGAGACGAGACGTTCTTTGACATAACCCTGGGCCGTCAACTTTCTGCTCAAACACTGGTACCATGAAAGGAGTATGACAGTTGTTTTCCATTCGTTTGATGTGTTTGAGCTTTTGATATTGCCATTTGATAAGGGACTTGCCGATTTGAATTTTCCTCGGAGTTCGGAATTTTGTTATTTTACTTTTTCAGCATACGTTAATTTGACTGAAAATCATACTAACAATGTCTAAGAAGTCAATCTTTCAATGGAAACAAATTACAGGTCTGTCTAATCATAGAAGACATATGTCCAAATAATTAAAATAAACAAAGGAACATTCCTTAAGTTTTTGAAGTGTCTTAATAGCTTTTTCTTGAATTATTAGTTATGAATTTTTTCAGGGAATACCACTGTGGCGGAAAAAATCGTACCACCAGACACAAGTATTGACATTTTACTGCTTACAGATAACTTCGGATCCTTACAACTAGCTGGTAAATAGTATAAGAACGTCTTTTATAAGGATTATAAGTATATTAAATCATCAAAAATTACATTGTCCGTCCGTAATATTCATTCTAAAACGAAATGATTGTAATAGCCTAATGTTTGAGATAAAATGCATACTTAGTCACTCAAATGTTTGAATTCAATGGGTCCCTTATCAACCTAAATAATAATTATTTTCAATAAAGACAGAGAAAAAATATAATAGTATACACACTCATCAAAACAAACAGAAACTATGATCAATTTCAAGGAAAATTATAAAATGAAATAAAAAGCTTCCAATTTTACAGAAATAACACACTGAAAAATATCACATCGAAATATTAAAAATCCATTTTGTGATTTTTAACATTTAACCTCAATCTGGTTAAAGTAGCAATTTTGCTAGCATTTTACACATTCAGGGAACTACGACTTTTTGTGAAGTTTTGTTTTATAGTTAAAATCAACTTTAATTCAACACAGTCGCACATGTAACTGTTGCCATAGTTAAACGACTGAAGTCTTTATCCGTCTGTTTGTCAGTCCGTCTGAACACTCAGATACCGTTTTCTGAAAGCTTTTCATACTTTGTAGCATTGTTTGAAATCGTACTTTCTTGTTGAAATTATACCTCCATCTTAGATTTTTTCAGAAGTTTTTGAATTTAAACCAGTTATTTCTATTCTTGAAACACATGATCCATAAGGACGCAACACTTCTGAAATCTTTGAAAATAGATCTTTCATACTTGTAGGACTTTTGAGTTTATATAATCTTAACCATGTTCTTGTTTTGCGTTTTATTGAAGACATTATTGGACTAAGAATTGTTTGGTAAAGATGTAACACAATTGTCTACTTTGAAAGGAACTCCTCTAACACGGTTTAAAAAACATACTTTAATAATACAATAATTTGTCATCTTGTGGAGTAGACCATACTAAACCGTTATTTAAATTTTATAATTTGTTCAGAACCTTTGGAAATTTGATCATATTTATATTACTGTACACATATGACAGCTTATGAACACAACTTTCCTCATACCGTTTACGACAAAGCCCTCATACTCGATAAGGTCATCTGTAGTCGACTATACTTTACAATTATTTTCAAAAGACTATTCTTGTGATAGTTGTATCAATATAAAATTGAAGTTTGGGACTAACACATCATTTTTAAGGAAATTCCGTAGGACAGAATTTCGAGAAATAAAAATTTCAAGTAAATAATTTTGAACTTTACTACGATATTACGTGTATTCTATACTTTCGTGCTTACATATTCGATGTCATGTGTATTCCATTCAAAATTGCATAAAATTCCGTAAAATTGCCTATTTACGTACATGTTACATCTCTATGAAAATAACAAGGGGCAGAAAAGGGACCAAAAAGCTTGGATTTTCTGATTTCTGGACAATAACTTGAGTATAAGTCTTTATATTGCTATTTAATAGTGACACAAGGTGTTATACCTTAAATAATCAGGATAATCCGATTGTTGTATTGAAAAATGGAAATTTTATCATTTATGTATTTTAAATTGAGTTGTCTTCCTTTCTTAATAAATTAAATCTTTATAGTCAAAATTTGTGTAATAATTTTTTTATAAGACCGCAAATTTATTGACCGCAAATTTATTTGCGGTAGTATTATGTTATGGTGTTGTCTTCGTCTGCGTCTGAAGAAATTTTGGTTCGCAGGCAATAACTTGAGTATAAGTTCATGGATCTCTATGAAATTTAGCACAAGGTTTCATACCACTAAAGGTTGGTTGGGAATGTTTATGGGGACTATTGTCCTTGCAGTTTTGTAATAAGAGGCAAAAAAAGGTCAGTTTTCCTGGTTCATGGAAAATAACTTTAGTGTAAGTGTATGGATGTGTAAGAAACTATAGTAGAAGGTTCCATTCTACAATAGGAGGGTTGGGATTGTTTTGGGGTGTTATTGCCTTAGTGGTTTTGTAATTAAGGACCAGAAAGGGACCAAAAACACTTATTTGTCTGGTTTTAAGACAATAACTTGAGTATAAGTGATATTTATTTGGTCAATATTTTAGCACAAGGTTCCACACCACAATAGGAAGTTTGGGATTAATTTTTGGGGTTAGTGTCATAGCTGTTTAGGGATTAAGGGCCGAAAAGGGTATAACAAAAACAATTGTTTGTCAGGATCACAGACAATAAATTGAGTATAAGTGTAAGGATCTGAATTAAATTTTAGCACAATGTTCCAAACCACCATAGGGAGGTTTTTATTTATTTTGGGGGTTATTGTCGTAGCGGTTTAGGAATTAGTGGTCAAAAAAGGGCAAAAAACAAGCATTTTTCATGTTTCAGGAAAATAATTGGTGTATAAGAGTATAGATTTCTATGAAATTTTACTACAAGATACCATACTTTAAAAGGAAAGTTGGGATTGATTGCAGGGATCATGGTCCAAACCGTTAAATAATAAGGGGCTGAAAAGGGACCAAAAAACTAGGATTTTCTGATTTCTGGACAATAACTTGAGTATAAGTCTTTATATTGCTATTTAATAGTGACACAAGGTGTTATACCATAGAATAAAGTTTGGGATTGATTTTAGGGGTTATGACCTTATTGGTTTAGTTAAAAGGGGCCAAAACCAATACTTTATATAAATTGCTTATTTTTTTTTAAGCAATTTCAATCCGGTTTAATTCAAACGTCTTGGGAGTCTTTAATATGCTGAATCTAATTGGGTATTTAATATTTGGGTTTTAGGATATGTTTTTTGAAATGATTCATATTAAAGTCCAAAGGGTCCAAAATTAAATTTTTTTTGGAATTCTTTAAAAATTGAATTATTGGTGATCCTTGATATGCTGAATCTAATTGTGTATTTTGATTTTTTTAATTTTGAGGCCTGTCTTCAAATTGGTCCACATTAAGGTCCAAAGGGTCCAAATTACAACTTTTTTTTATTTAAAAAAAAAAGAATTCTTGGGGTTCTTTGATTTGCTGAATCTAAGCGTGTATTTAGATATTTGATTTTGGGCACAGTATCCAAGATGGACTAAATTGGGGTCCAAAATTGAAGCTTGTTTGATTTCACCAAAAATTTAATTTTTGTGTTGCTTGATGTGGTCTATCCAACAGTGTTTTAGATGTTTTGATTTTGTGCTTGGTTTTCAAAGTTGGTCCAAATTAGGGTCCAAAATCAATCTTTGTTTGATTTCTTCGAAAATTAAATCATTGGTGATCTTTAATGTGTGCATTCTAACAGTGTTGTATTTTTATTTTTTTATTTTTGGTCCGTTTTTTAAACAGTACTTCATAAAGGTCCAAATTATCCAAAATATAACATAGTTTGATTTTAACAAAAAAAAATAAACAATGTGGTCATTTGATATACTAAATCCAACCATGTTTTATAATTTGAATATTGGACCATAATTGGTAAATGTCTAGTTTTAAAAATTATTAAGAACTTATACCACATTCATTACATCACAGAAAACTACTATTACATATTTACTCAGAATCTAAATTCAGAGATGTTATTGAACAATTAATCATATCTAATTTTAGAGAACTATTTTTGTGGTTTACATCACTTGGTCATGGAAAATAAATTGGTTCACAGACGATAACTTTAGTATAAGTGTATGGATGTGTAAGAAGTGTAAGAAATTTTAGCACAAGGTTCCATACCATAATAGGAGGGTTGGGATATTAAACAGTTAATCAAGCTCTACATTTATAAATTTATTGTAAACTAATAGAAATTTTAAATTGAGTCATAGTTTAAAATATATTTGTTGATTCAGATATATTAATTGCGGTGATAATTGTGTATGCATTGTGTTCTTTTTAAAGATTGTAAACATGTTGGAATATTTTTTATGGTTGAAAATTAAAAAAAACCTTTGTCATCCGTTGAAGTGGGAGTTGTATGTAAGTGACGTTTTTAAATACAATTGTGCCATACATTATGTTATGTTAAATTTTAATAATAATAAAAAAAGGTTAGTTTTATGCCCCCGCCGTAGCGGAGGGGGCATTAAGTTTTACCCTTGTTTGTCTGTACATCCGTACGTCCCATAATTGGTTTCCGTTCTCTAACTTTAGTTTGCCTCCACCAAATGTTATGAAACTCAAACACAATGTTCATTACCACAAAACACAGATCAATGTTGAATTTTGGTGGCATCACTTTCACCGTTCTAGAGTTATGTCCCTTTACAAATGGAAAAAATGCTCAATTTTTCGTTTTTCGTTCTCTAACTTTAGTTTGCCTCAACCAAATATTATGAAACTTATACACAATGCTTATTTTTGACAAAACACAGATGAAGTTTGAATTTTGGTGGCATCACTTTTACCGTTTTGGAGTTATGCACCTTTACAAATAGAAAAAATGCTTAAATGTTCGTTTCTGTTCTCTAACTTAAGTTTGCCTCAATTAAATGTTATGAAACGTATAAACAATGCTTATTACCACAAAACTCAGATCAAGTATAAATTTCATGGACACATTCCCCATTTATTTATTATAATAATCTATTTATATTAAAGGATATATTTCATTACAATACATTGTGTAGATAAAGTTGTTGACATTGATAGATAAGTTGCAGATATAAGTTTGTGACAAAGGAAAGAAAAAAATATTGGGAACTATTAATTATATATATAAAGTTTGATTACACTAAGTGTTTTTAAATAATGTTCACCTATTATCAGATAACAAACATGTGGTAATTATCAATAACATAATTTAATTGGACTGACAGATTTATTTGAAAATTTTGTGATTCCTAAGTGGTGTTGATGATAAGCTCTATAGGACAGTATAAATATAGTTTGAAATTTACTGTTCATTATTCGATATTTTTAAGATAATTACTGATAAGTTTTATAGATTTTTTAAAGACAATTGAATCAATGATAAAATTATATTTTTGAATTTTTTTTTTCCTTTTCTTTGGTAAATTGTTTTGAAGAATTTTGTTGTTTGTTTGTTATTCTGTATGAACTAATTTTAATATTATTTTTTTATGATGAAGCGAACTCTTTTAAAAACTAAGCTTATATTGTCTATTAATAAACATGTATTTAGATTTTTGATTTTGGGTCCAGTTTTCAAGTTGATCCAAATCGGGGTCTAAAATTAAACTGTGATTGATTCAACATAAATTGAATATATTTAGGGTTCTTTGAAATGCTGAATCTAATCCTTTATTTAAGTTTTGGATTTTTTGGGCCTAGTTTCAAGTTGGTCCAAAATTAAACTTTGTTTAATTTCAACAAATATTAAATTTATGGGGTTCTTTGAAATGCTGAATCTATCCATGTATTTAGTTTTTGGATTTTAGGCTCCTTTATCAAATTGGTCAACATTGAGATTCAAAGGGTCCTAAATCAAACTTTTGTTTGATTTCATAAAAAATGGAATTCTTGGGGTTCTTTGATATGCTGATTCTTACCATGTACTTAAATTTTGGATATTGGACCATAATAGGTAGATGTCCAATTTCAAATGTTTCAGTTCTTTGACCACATTTATTTTGTGTCACAAACCTATGCTGTGTCAAATATTCAATCACAATCCAAATTCAGAACTGTTTTAAGCTTAAATGTTGTGTCCATACTTGCCTCAACTGTTCATGGTTTCGACCTCTGCGGTCGTATCAAGCTTGCGCCTAGCGGAGCATTTTATTTCCAAATCAATAATACAACCAAGTTAATCTAAATCTAGTTATCTATTTTTAAATCTCTTTTAGTTCGATTAGGAAACTTAGCATTAGTATGTAACCCTTTTAGAAGGTACGTCGCGTATTCGAAAGAATACAGTTAGTTTAACTATACTTCAACTTGGCCATTCCTATGCATATGTCCAGACTTAGATTTTTCCTTCTATCTTTAAACTCACATGGAGGTGGATAATAAAATTTGCCGTGAATATTCATCACTTCTTGAAGGTGTGTTGCATTTGAAATAAGTGATGAAAATTGTAATTAAAAAGTTCGGGTCACTGAGTTACCCCTTCGCATTATATATATTGATAAAGACCGATAAGCCTGTTGGCGTTTAGTTAAAATTAGCTTGGCATTATTCACAACTTCTAGAAGGTATAACACATGCATTGTTCATGGAAGAATACTACGTTGATGATGATTGCAAATTTTTGAAGACGTTTTGATCATTGGACATAGAAAACTGCTTGCAAATATGAGTTTTCAACAGCTTTTTTCTGTCATGTCTGAATCAGTGTTCTTGCTTTGTGTTAGGAACTTGTCATGATCGATGCGCTATCAGAATTCTTGAAACAATGTAATGGGCGTCGGCGTCGATATTTCCTATCATTATTTCCTTGATAGAGGATTGCTGCTCACAAGGAAGCTATTAAACCAAGAGTTCCAAATGGTGAAGTTGAAATTATCCCTTCGTAAATTTTACGGACGCCATCACGAGTTGGTTGACCGTTATGGAATAACCGTTTCACAGATGATATCGGATATGTTCCTTATGTCGTAACTACAATACCCTTCCCTTTTCACTAATGTGACCTACCGAATTAGACTATTTACCGGATTTGTAATAACATAATCACCACGACGGGTGCCATATGTGGAGCAGGATCTGCTTACCCTTCCGGAGCACCTGAGATCACCCCCAGTTTTTGGTAGGGTTCGTGTTGCTTAGTCTTTAGTTTTCTATGTTGTGTCATCTGTACTATTATTTGTCTGTTTGTCTTTTTATTTTTGGCCATGGCGTTGTCAGTTTGTTTTCGATCTATGAGTTTGACTGTCCCTCTGGTATCTTTCGTCCCTCTTTTACTGACAAATGACCTTAGTTTTTTGCAGTAAACTGTATATACAGTCTAAATATTAAGACGACAACAGCTTTTAAAAACTTAATGGAATGTACGAAACTTTGACAGAGGCTTCTTCGTGATGAAAAATAGCATCCAAAGAAAAGGTTTTATTTTTTTTTTTTGTCGTAATATAACGATAAAACGATTTAGTTTTATTTTCAGTCTACATTACACTTTAATAATGACACCAGCAATCGCAGGCTAAAACAGATTTCCACGGAACACTCAGCCTCGATTTCTTTTCGAACCATGTTAACAGTGACTTCTCAACAAGTAAACGCACGATCCTGTTTATTATAGAACTTCCAATAATTGACATTTATATTTATACATGTATTTGTTTTAATGTCATACGAAATTGTATCATATAAAGCATGTTTTTCGAGTTGTCTGTAATAATTTCAGACTCACAATCTCCCAAACCAGAGAAATCCGATGATATTGATGCAAGAAAAGGGAAAATATCAGTTTGTGAAACACTTAATCTACCACAGGATGTTGATAGAACATCAGATGAGTACAGTAAGAGTAAACGATATCTTAAGGCAATGAAGAATACAGGTATATCCCATTTAGAAATACAATTAGTACTCAAGAGTGTATTATGCTATGAACCTTAAAAATGCATAACAGTTTAAAATGGGTTTCAAATAAAATTACTTCTGTTATAATATATGTGTCTGTTCAAAAGAGTTTCTGACTTTTTGTATATGGTTTAATTATAAGAGTTTTTTTCTAAATTAAATTGTATCATTTATTTAGTTTCTTAATCTTTTATCTGTTTTCCTACTAAAATTCCGTTACTAATTATCAATGAAATAAACAAAATAGTTAACACCAATATCCATCCGCTCGGCAAGCGTTCCTGGAATAAGTATCGTAACAGGAATAAATACATAATTATATTTAATATATGTACCTTTTTATTTACAGATATTGTTGTGTTACACGTAGAAGACAATATAAGTTTGAAAGAAACAAACAATATGGAAAATACGGATAGTGTAGAGAGTTTACAAAGTTTCAAGGATCATCTGCAAACGCTAGCAGACGAATGGGGTTATAATCACATTAAAATTAATTTTTTTGAAGACGTTTTCGTGTGGTGCAATTACAATAATAAGATTAGTTTCACAGATGTTATGGACAAGTGTGGCATGATATTTTTCTACATGTCAAAAAAATTTCTACCAGGAAAACTTAAAAGATATGGATTATCCGAAAGCAGTGTAAACTTTGCACTTAAAGCTTTAAATGATTTTCCTAAAGTAAAAATTGTTTGTGCTTATGAACAATGTAAACTATATAAAAAAGACTTTGAAATTCATCTTGATTATTGTAAGTACAAGAAGTCAAAAGATGAAGATTTGTATGAAAGTACTTTAAGAGAAATATTTGAAAAGCTTTAAACCTTTTGGTGCTGTATTAGTCTATATATATGACACATAAGACATTGCTGTATTACTAAAAAAATATTGAGGATGACACTAAAATTTTGCTCTTTTTTGTATATTTGTTTGCAAAACATGTTTAAAATGTAATCCCATATCAAAAAGAGTCAAGTAGCAATACAGCCTTAAATCTTAGTCTTTTTTTATCAAAAATATGTCCTTCCTTTAATGCTTCATAGACGTCACAAATGTATGTTGTTTTTTATCTCAAACTTTTGTCCTTTTCACCAAGCCAGGACCTGTCCTATAGTGCGTCCCTAACGTCGGAAACATGTGTTCTTAATTTACCCCAAATTGATTAAGCTGCAAAATTTCTTGGTCATATTTTTTTACAAACGGAGTTGTGGTACAAGTATGACTAGAGTGTTTCCTCAGTCAGTAATGGTTAAAAATGAAAAGTGAAAGATACAAAAGGGACATTCAAGCGCCTTTGTCGAAAATAAAGTGACAATGCTATGGCGAAAAAAAAGAAAAAAGACATACAACAGTACACAAAACACAGCATAGAAAACTCAAGACTGAGCAACAAGAACCCCACCAAAAACCGGGAGTGATCTTATGCGCTTCGGAAGGGTCCTGATCCTGCTGCACTAGTGGCACCTGTCGAGTTGCTAATGTAAGTACAAACTCGGTGATAACTTTAATTCGGTAGGTCACATTAGAGAAAAATTTTGTCATCTGTGAAACAGATATTTCATAACGATCAACCAACTCGTGATGGAGTCCGTGAATTTTTCGAAGGGATGATTTCAACTTCACCACTTTGAACTCATGCTTTTATTTGTCTTTATGAGTAGCAACCCTCTATCAAAAAAATTATTATAGGAAATTCAAGCTCTGGAATATCGTTTCAACTCGGAGATAATACTACATATGCCGGCGCAGCTTGAATGCTGGAAAGTTCGCAGTTGAGAAGCTGAAATATCTTTTGTCGTGAAGTTTTGTTCTCAACTGACCCTCGTTGTCAATGTACAGATGTAAGTCAAGATATGGGACAGACTTAATTGTATTTGTTGTATCCTTAATTTCAAGTTCGATGGTATAGATGCACTCAACATAGTCACCAAACTTTGAATTATTTAGTGAGAGGACAAGGTTTGCTCGCCTATAAAATATATTGTTATTGGGTATACTTTCAAGGAACAGACGCCCTTCAATAAAAGCTATCAATACCCTTAAGACATTATATATATCAATGTAGGTCTTTACATGGTAAATGTAATGATTGGTAACAGTAAATGATACAATGCATTATGTTCTATGTAAAAGTCTTCACGCTTAATCCTTTGAATGCAGATTTGTTGATATTTTACATGATTCATTTATAATAATTGAAAAAATCACGTTTAATAATTTCATGCGTCCGAAGCGCGTTTCTGGATTTACATTCATTAGGAACGCTCAAAGTCAAACATTTGAAATCCGAGGAATGTATAAGTACCGAAACAGTTATAAGTTGTAACTGGCTTTGAACTAGCTGTCTGGTACTCTTAGATCAATGATGTCTTATTTATGTCTTATTGGTGTCTTATTTATGTATGTTTGTTAGTTTTGTATTGTGTGTGTGTTTCGTCCCAATCTTGAAAGTCGTGTCCTTTCCAACTACATGATTTTGTTTGTTCTTATGTTGAGCATTTATATGAGTGTCCCGGGATGAGGGCAGGTTTAAGAGCTCATAAATATTATTTAACCATGCCACATTCTTTCTGTGCCTGTTCCAAGCCAGTAGCACGTAAGACAGTGGTTGTCGATAGATACTGTCAAATTTGTTTTCATTTATTGTTATGTCATAAATCAGGTCGTTGATTACCCCGTTTAAAAGGATTTACATGTTCTCATCTCGTATATTTTTTAGCTTACTTTGCCCAGACATGAATTTCGTTAATTGACATTTTATAGGAGTTATTGCCTTTAGATAACAATGTGTTACCCTTTTCTGTGTTTTGGACATGAACTAAAGAAGAAAATATAAACTAAAAAAAAAATCAACAAAAAATAGATTTTTTTCTTGAACTACATTATAGTCTTCAGTATTGGAGAGTATTCATTGTAGAAGAAAAACATATACCTATGTAGGCGACATCAACTCTTGAGAGCCTCTAATCTGAACTAATATGCGTTATGGATTTTTGCTCATTGTTGAAAGCCGTCCATTGGCCTATAGTTGCTTACATCCATATCATTTTGTCTCTTGTAGATAGTTGTCTCATAGGCAATCATATCACATCCCCTTGTTTTTTTTTTGTTTTATAAAATTTGATTGGAAACGATCCTCCAAAATATGAAATCCACGGGACAAACAGTATCAGAAAAGTTACCTTTAGAAGGAGGTGTTGTTTTAGTTACAATACGGAAAAAAAGGTAAAGATCAAGAATAACCCAATATTTACTACAGTCAAATTTCGAACGCAGAACATCTAAATAAAGCTGTCTTTTTGCAGATGGTGGTATATTGGGCTACAGTATTTCCTATTATGATTGACTGTTAAATTAACAGTAAGCGTATTTGTGGTCAATAGGAATCATTCACGACTTTTCACGCGTGGCGGCGCTGCGGTTCCATAAGTGGTTACTTGAACGCTTCAATCACGTAAAACGCTTGCATCTGTATTTACAACGTAAACAATGGCATCCGATGATTACATCACCTGGTCTGTTCCAGAACTAACGTTACGTGGAGCTGTCACAAGAGATAGAAATATAGATCTTATAGAAAGGTAAACGATGTATTTAAAAACTATTGAGATTTCTTCTATTATAAGCGGAAACGCCGCTACAGTACATGGCCAAAAATATTTCGCCACCTACATTTTTGGGTTATATATTTCATATAAAAACACGTTTATTGGAGGCATTCATGGTTGTATTTTTACAAATAATGTGTTGAAAAACGCTGAATTGTATATAAAGAGTATTTGTTTGTTATGTCATAGCTCTGTCATCAGTTGTTTTTATTTTCTCCTGATGTGAACACATATACTATTTTTTACAATTTAATTTGGTTGAAACAAGGATTTGTATAGTGATACAACACTATACAAATCCTTGGTTGAAATATAATTATATAGCAAGATTGTTTATAATAGACAATAATATTTATGTTTATCTCAGAAGAAAATGAAAATAAACAAATAATTATTCTGCTGTTGGTACCAAGTTGCATAAAATCAAATCAGAAATGTCCCCTAAATAATCTTTTGAAATGCAATTTTATATGAAATATTTAGTGTGAAATACCAAGTGACAAATACATGTACCCCAAGTTAGAAAAAAAAAACAAAAAAAAACCCACTGAACAAATAAATAGTCATGAATGTATAATTATACTTTCTAGGATACATTTAAATGATTTTGTATATTAATAATTAAAAATAGGGGTTCTTATAATACAGATATTATCTGTTGGCCATGAAATGTGATACAGACCATGCAGACTGGGCAAGGGAAAATTAAATTTAACTTGTTATATACTGGGACTATTATATACTAATAGTATAATAGTCCAAGTAATATATAAACAATTTATTACTTTTGAATATGGGACAATTACACAAGGAAAGTATTAAATCCTCCCAATACCACTTTTAAACAAGACATGATTCTACATTTTTAATCTTTAAATCTTTTGATATGTCTCAGCTTCATCAACCTAAAAAAAAAAAGACACTGTAAAAAAAATATAAAGGCCCTTCTCTGCAAACTTTTTACATACAACATGATGGGGCCATTTTTGAAAATTTTAAAAGATATGTACATCTATAATGAAGTTTTATTTGCAATTCAAGTTCAAACAACTGAAGGAATTATTTAAATATGGAATAATTTCAAATTCTGCAAAATTGATTAGAAAATAATTATGAAAACTAACCCAACTAAATATTTTTTAAACTTAGAAATGTGGTCCCTATAGTTCTACCTCCTTTCTTGAATCCTATCTGTTCTTGGCAGATAATCTTATAAGATTCTTAATAGTTTTCTAAACTATTATACTATAGAAAAAAATGTTCCTAAACTAGTAAAAAGGGTTATACCTCTGTTGTTTGAAGGGCTATTAAAACATCTTCCTTTGAATATGGGTTAAATAAATTTTCTCTCCAATAAGAACTTCTTGCTAGAGAGAAAATTTTAGTAAATTTTAAGAAAAAAAGTAGTGTTTCATAATTTTATATACATATCATGTCCAACATTCAGCATACAAGAATTTTTCAAAATTTCATTAGTTATACCATTAAATCCACTTGATATCTTGTTTTCAAATATTTCATGGCAAGCAGAAACCTCCTTTGTAATCCTAACATTTTAATCTATCATGTGTAATAGTACTTTAAAAAATCTTTACCTACATCATGTACATGTTTTAAAAAAATTTAAACCATTCCTTAGCTTGTTTAATTAAACTTAGGCTGGAACATGCATTAAATATTTGTCACAGGACATTAAGATTCCAACAATCAATCAATATATTTGAACTTGAATCATTGATTTCTTTCCTTTTTGTCTTGCCTTGACAGAGTCCAAAAGCAAGACATAGCATATATTAGGTATGCTGTTTTCAGCGTCATCAACAGTGTATTAGTTAGTAAAGTAATTTAAAATAGTGAAATATTGCAGACATTTTCTACTGGTAGATATTTGTAACCATGAAAGACAATATATTCATTATACAGTTTTCATGATTAAACGCACAGGCACTTGTCTCAGAAAAAAATTTCCTATATACCTTTATATAACACGTGTTATATTAAGGTATATAGGCCTTTTTTTTCTGAGACAAGTGCCTGTGATTAATCGCTAGCCCTTCAGGCCAGGCCAGATACATTTTTTGTAAGTATAGATAATTGTTAATGTGTCAATCCTAGTCAGGAGCCTTTAATTTAGTAATTATAGTTGGTTAATTTCTGATATATATACATATATATTTGTTTTTTTATTGTCTTATTTTATAATTTAAAATCAAGCCATTAGTTTTCTTGTTTGAATTTTCTTTCATTTTTGAATGTTGTGACCTTTGTAGCTGACTAGTACAATGTGATTTTTTCTTGACTGTATTTTATTTAATATTTTGACTTATCTTTTGTAGAATCAATTAGAAGAGCCAAAATTTATAAGCCTAGATTCAAAACATTCTGGAGGAG